CACATGTGAGATTATCTGGCTACGATCGATTCTTGACGAGTTGGGTTTTTCAGTGACCTCTCCATCCACATTATATTGTGATAATCAATCTGCTATTCAGCTCGCTTCTGACTCTGTACTACATGAGAGAACGAAGCATATAGAGATCGATGTTCACTTTCTTCGGGAGAAGGTCAGCAGTGGTCTTGTTACTCCATCGTTTGTGGGGACCAGTGATCAAGTTGCGGATGTTTTTACCAAACCTGTCACTCTGTCTATTCTTCGGGACTCCGTTGTCAAGCTTGGTTTAGTTGAAATTTTTGCGCCTAGCTTGAGGGGGAGTGTTGGAGTATAGATAGTAGTCTAGGTTTATTAGGATTTCTTTTCCCTTTTTTACCCTTACTATGATTTTTATATTTTGCCTAAACTACAAGGATGTTTAAGTCACTCTGTATTATTTTTGGCTATATATACGGGACTCTACTTTGAGTTTGAGTATCCCTTTCACATATTCCAAGTTGATTAAAGCTTTTTACAACAAGGGGAGCTTTATATCGATCAATGGAACCATCCGATTTCTGCTTGATTTTGTAAACCCATTTGTTACAAATCACATTGTAATGGTGAGGTCGATGAACAAGAGACCATGTGCCATTAAGTTGAAGTGCATCAAACTCCTCTCCCATTGCAATCCTCCAATGGGGAATTTTAATGGCTTGTGTATAGTAAGAAGGTTCAGAGGGTAACTCAAATGTGTGAAAGACTTTTAAAGGATGTTTCATAGAGTAGTAAAGCTGATAATCATAAAAATCATTTGGACAAGAAGAACCTGAGTGTGCTCGAGTGACCATGGGGTGAGATGACTAACGCGGGTTTAGAAGTGTCATTTGAAAGTATAGCTTGGGAAGGAAGATTGACAATAGGGGAAGGGAATGAGTCATGGACGATTGGGGCATTTTCAGGTATAGAATGGGACTGTGGCCAGGTTTCTTGGGTTAGGGGCAGAGCTCAAGGTTCAAATGGTGAGGTGGGTGAATGAGGTGAGACAATAGCAGTGGCAGAAACACTTTCACGAGCTGGCCTTAAAGACAGTTTTATCCCGAGATGGAAATGAGATTTAATCAAATACCATATGAAGAGAAATATAGAATCATCCCGAGTCTGGGTCGAGACATCGATAGCCTCGGTGATTGGAACTATATCCAAGGAAAATGTATTTTTTGCTACGAAATGCCAATTTGTGTGAATTGTATGGGCACAATAAAAGGTAACATGCATAACCAAACACACAAAGAATTGAGTAATCGGGAGTAACTTTGAAAAGCTTAGTATATGGGTTGTTATGGTGCAAGAGGGGCGTGGGTAGCCGATTAATGAGATAAACGGTTGTGTTAAAAGCATCAACCCAAATATTTGAGAGGAAGAAGAGAGTGAGCAAGAAGAGTCAAACTTGTCTCAACAATATGACGATGTTTACGTTCGGCAACACTATTTTGTTAAGAGGTGTGAGGGCATGAAAATCTATGCATAATTCCATTGTTTTCAAGGAGGCTACGAAAATGGCTTTTTTTTTAAATTCACTTCCACCATCAGATTGAAAATACTTAATTTTGCATGATAGGAGATTTTCAACAAGACATTTAAATTTGACAAAGTAAGGAAACACATTAGATTTTGCTTGCAATGGAAATAACCAAGTGAAACGAGAAAAGTCATCTATAAAAGTGAGATTATATTTGCACCCACTAATTGATAAAACTGGTGAACTCCATACATCATAGCGAATAAGTTTAAGGAGACAAGTAGACACTCTACTAGAGGAAGAAAAGGGAAGACGCTTGTGTTTTTGCTATTTGACATGATTCACAAATATTAGGAAGCACCATTGAACCAGCAATGGGAAAGTTCATAAAAAATTTGCAGCTGTTTGATGATTGGAGAAAATAAAATAAAATATATTTTATTTATCTTTTGAAATTTGAATTGTATTGTCGTTTATAGATGTTTCATTTGTGGTGTCATTATTGGATTGTTACATATTTTATTTGGGGGAGAAATGAATTTATTTTCAAGTGATATAATATTCTATGTGAGATTGATATCATATTTGTTTTGGTATTTTCCTAACAAAATGGGAAAAAGTCATTTATTTTTTGGTTTACCAAATTTTCTTTTTTGTCACTATTTTAAACTCTTACATGAGGGTGAGGGTATAGTGAGATTTGAGGCTGTAACTTATTAATAGCCCATTGTTTTGTTGTCACTATTTTGCACTTTTACAAGGAGGGGAGGGGAGGGTATGGTGAGATTTGAATCAGAACCTAAGGATTCAACGATGGACTACACTACAGTAATCATTAAACCAAGTGCTAATCCTTCCGCTTTACCATTTGAGGGTGACAATTTTGATACATCCAATGAAATGCTTTTATCTCGTTATATTATGCTCCGATTATTGTAAAATTTTGATTTATTTCTGCAGAAAGGTGACAACCCAATGTGGTCCATACATGGATGGGATGGGGTTTCTTATCCCCAACAATCAATCTATCTCCTTTGGATTGCCTTATTGCACAGTACACGCACAAGTGGTATTTTATTACCCATAGCACCAAACCCACGTACACCGTCTCTTCTCACTCATCAATGGAAGCTCTTTTCGTCAACCAATCTCCCTCTCGCCTCAAACTCTCCCAGAAACACACCACCACCAGAACACCTTCCCTTCTTTCTCTCTCCTCACAACTTCATCTCCTTCATAAACCTTCTTACCCCACCAGTCTCTCAGTATCAGCCACCATTGAAAACCAACAAGCACCACCACCTCTTCAATTCCAAGACTACGACGAAGACGAATCCTACGGCGAAGTCAACAGAATTATCGGCAGCAGAGCCCTCGAAAATGGAACCGGCATGGAGTACCTAATCGAGTGGAAAGACGACCATGCCCCTACATGGGTCCCATCTAATTACATAGCCAAAGACGTCGTCGCCGAATACGAGACACCCTGGTGGACCGCCGCTAAAAAAGCCGACGACTCAGCTCTCAAACAGATCATCGAAGCCGATGACGGCAGAGACATCGACGCCGTGGACGAAGATGGCCGCACGGCTCTCCTCTTCGTAGTAGGTCTTGGCTCTGAGCCGTGTGCTAAACTCCTAGCCGAAGCAGGCGCCAATATCAACCACCGTGACAATACTGGTGGTTTGACGGCTCTACACATGGCGGCTGGCTATGTCAAGCCAGGCGTAGCAAAGTTATTAATCGACGTTGGTGCGGATCCGGAGGCAGAAGATGATAGAGGACGTACGCCGTTGGATTTGGCGAGGGAGATTTTGAAGGCAACGCCAAAGGGGAATCCTATGCAATTTGCTCGAAGATTGGGGCTAGAGAATGTAATTAGAGTTTTGGAAGAGGCAATATTCGAGTACGCGGAGGTGCAGGAGATATTGGAGAAGAGAGGGAAGGGTGAAAAGGTGGAGTATTTGGTGAAATGGAAGGACGGTGAAGATAATGAGTGGGTGAAAATGGGTTTGATAGGTGAGGACTTGGTGAGGGACTTTGAGGCTGGGCTGGAATACGCTGTAGCGGAGTGCGTGGTAGGGAGGAGAACAGGGGATGATGGGATGAATGAGTATTTGGTGAAATGGACGGATATAGAGGAGGCTACGTGGGAGCCCGAAGAGAATGTTGATTCTGATTTAATCGAGGAGTTTGAAAAGGCCCAGATGAGGGTGGAAAGCAAGGCTGTTATGGAGGCCCAATTGAGTGGTGGGGGTCCATAAACTTGGTGACATGTTCTCTTTTGGCCCATGAATGAAGTATAATTGATATGGAGTTACTAGTTTTTATTGGTGATAAATTTTTTTTTTTGGGGGTAAGACTTATAACGTTCAAAGTCCGAGTCTTAAACATATGTGTCATGAAGTCTTATATTAATGGCGAAGCCCACAAATTTTATTTTCCTTATGTGTTTTGGTAGTTTTGAACCAATTAATTAATTATCTTACTGATGAAGGCTTTTTTAAAAGTANATTTTTTTTTTTTTGGGGGTAAGACTTATAACGTTCAAAGTCCGAGTCTTAGAAGTCTTATATTAATGGCGAAGCCCACAAATTTTATTTTCCTTATGTGTTTGGGTAGTTTTGAACCAATTAATTAATTATCTTACTGATGAAGGCTTTTTTAAAAGTAATGCTCGGACTTGTGATTATGATGTAAATTTTATATGCGTGTGTGTGGTCTATATGCAAATAACATGCATTGGAAAAAAGAAAATAGAGTTTATTAACTAGTTTTCATAAAGTATCAAATAAGACTCTATCATTATAATCTCTTTTCAACAAAAGTGGGCTGGCCTAAAGTGTCTCAACTTTTATTTAGTTTTATAGTGTCCATATGAAAAGTACACTCTCCAGATTGTCTTTTGAACTTGGTAAGCTCGGCCAGCCCACTTTTCCACCCTAAATTAATCTGATGAGAGAGCGAGAGGATTTTTTTTTTTTTGGGGGTTGGGGGGTGTGAAATGCGAATATTATTTCCATGAATAAAGATCAATATTACACTTAACAAATACACTGAAGATTATTTTTTGAACTTACAAACTCAAATTGCCTGCAATCTAAATAATTTCCAACTAGTGAGGCATAAAGTACAGAAAAAAAAAAAACTAGTGAGGCTTGAAGAAGTGTTTTTTTTTTTTAACCCCAGGCTAGTGATGCATGGAGCGTTGTCCGAGTTTCAAAGAATCTATGGCTTAAAGAAGCTAACTTGAATACCAGTGTCAATCACAACATAAACTCCAGCTGCCATCAAAATGCCACTGAGACCCATTCCTAGGATGCCTAGTCCCCAGTTGAGGCACCATATGGGGCTGTATATCTTAGGCTTCTTAATCTTAAGCCACATAAAACATGGATAAGCCAAAGTCACCGGTAAAGAAATCCCTCCAATTAGACCTGCCACGCTTCCCAAGAAGGGAATCGCGATAGCAACAAAAAAGCACCCATATCCAAACATGCACCGAATAAACACCCGTAGCCACCATGGGCATGGTTTCTTAAACCTCCTTGTGTAATTGGACTCCATATCGTCAAAGGATGGCATGCCATAGATTTGGAAGGAGCTAACTGCATTAATTATGACAAACAAGCTTGTCAATCCCAGAACGGATTTTGCAGTACTTTGTGCATGAAATGTGTACAACGCCGTTAACATGCCACCATTTGCTGGAATCTGTCAATGTAAAACAACTCACTTTTAGATTTATTATCATCAAATAATACAAAAAATAATAAGGCAAAGATCTTAAGTTTGATTAATATGATGATAGTTAGAGAATTACCAATTGACCATATGCCCAGTAGCCACCTATTGCAAGAGGAAATAAGCACATTGCTATGAGTACGTAAGCAAATTTGACACCCCTCCACATTGGTACGCGGGATGGATGCTTCTCACTTGAAGGCATAGTCGCCTGCAATTTTGATTAACGTAACAAAGTTATTATAAAATAAGGGTAAAGTTTATAATTTAATGAGATTATTAAAATATATAATTGTTTGATATCGATTTTACAAGTTTAGGACCAATCCAATGGCAATTACAAGGTTGACCACAGTTTTAACTAAATAATTATAATTTTCAAAGCGGTGCCTGCTGTATTCATACATACCCTAAGGCTAAGATTATAATAATTGGCTAGTCAAAATTCCGTTATCAGCAGCCTTCCAATTTCAACATCTTCGGCTACAATGTCGTAAAAGCCAGTCTCTAATGCTTTTGTGTATGGGGTTACATAATGCGTAAGATTAGTCAAACTTTAATGTTGAATCTGTTGATCTTCTCTTGCTTTTTATTTCAACCCTTAGAATCATATCAAAGTTCCAGGAAATTTCCCTGGTACTACACAGACGGTATTCAAATCCCTATGCCAATACAAATTAAATACAATTGTTTTACTTTCATCCTACCACACCACAAGAAAAGAACCTACGTACCTCAATGAAGATTTGTTTATGTGAAAAACATTGGTCCACCAACATTGGTTCATTTCATTATAGCAAGATAAACATAGTGTCATTTGTATTTCCAATAAGACAGGCTATAATGATATCAATAATTATTTCAAAAACAAAGATGAGTTTACGACTTACAACAAATGAAGTTGNAGAACCTACGTACCTCAATGAAGATTTGTTTATGTGAAAAACATTGGTCCACCAACATTGGTTCTTTTCATTATAGCAAGATAAACATAGTGTCATTTGTATTTCCAATAAGACAGGCTATAATGATATCAATAATTATTTCAAAACAAAGATGAGTTTACGACTTACAACAAATGAAGTTGTTTAAAAATAGATCTTATTATTTTAAACTCGGCCTTATCATTTAGAATTAATCTTAAAATAAGAATCCATCTCAAATGATGAATTGTANACAAAGATGAGTTTACGACTTACAACAAATGAAGTTGTTTAAAAATAGATCTTATTATTTTAAACTCGACCTTATCATTTAGAATTAATCTTAAAATAAGAATCCATCTCAAATGATGAATTGTAACTGATCATTACTGTTAGTCTATCCTTATATCCTATATTGTTCAAAGACTTATACATAAGAGAATCGATGCCTATGGTGATGGAGTTTTAAGTTATTTGATGTAGTAAAAATGAAACACTATTAACAGAAGCAATGAATGGATGGTAGGTTAACTAGTAGCAAACCTGTATCTCCAGTATAAGATTGTGGCCTCTGAAAGCAAAAGCAATGATCCCAAGCGCATTCAAGGGATCAAAAATCCTTCCAATCTCAGTTCGAGCTTTCACTGGACTGTACGAAACGTTCGGAAGTCTACCTTCAGCTACTGAAACAACCCATATTATGGTACAGTATCCAACGGCTGTTATGGCACCGACCAGCGACACACCGGCAATGGAGTTCAAGTTGGGCAGCTGAGACAGAACCACCGCAGCACTTGTGAACACCAAGTACCACTCCACATTCGTTAGTTGGTTGACGTTGCAAGAGTCACACACAGTCTGGAAGAACATCTTCATTGTTGACCCTCCGATGATGATCAGAGCCACGCATGTTCCCCCTGATAGATAAGCTATAGGGAATAGAGCCAGAAACTTCGATAGCCTCTCACCTAACAGACATTCAAATCATGTCAGTATGAACAAATCGTAATCTATCTAAGTATTTCTTACGTATCTCTTCCACAACTAATGTTTTAGTGCCATCTGAGTCACTATGTTTGAGTTCAACGGAAGAGAAGGGACGAAGGGTGTAATTGCTCACCAAAAGTTGCACTTGCTAGTTGCATGTATCTGCTGTATCGAATACCGGTTTCAGTTGATTCATGGAGTTGCACCAGCAAGTATAAGGTATAAAGTTGCCATATAAATGCTAATGTTAAGCATGTGATTCCCCATGCCCTGAAATACCAAACAAAAATTTTGTGTTATAAGAAGACTACATGAATCAAATGAGACTTAACATAATCTACATAGATTTCTTGATGTGAGGTTTGAATTATAAGAAACATAGTATCAAATTTACCAGCCAAGAATGGTGAAGGCAACAGGAAGAATAAGGGCTTGAACTCCAATTCCTGAACAAAGAGTGTGAAAGGCTGCATAGTAGGCGTTTCCATTTCTTGACTCAGTGATTGGTAGCCAAGCGTCTTGTGGGTCGAGCTTTGTGAGGTGGAGAGCCTTCCTTAAAGGGCTTCCCAAAGGAGTGATCAAAGGAGTGATGAACCTCGGCGTTCGTGACTTGTTTGGGGTTTTCTGTGCAGGCTTTTCCGGGTGGTCCCCGAAGGAGAGGAGAGGTGACCGAGACAAAGAAGGTGAATGGAATTGCGACGGAGGAGCAGATATTATCGGCGGTGTCGGAGCTCTCGACGCCGGTCTTGGTGTTATGGGGGCGGAGTATACTTCATCAACCTCACCCATTTTTCCTTCCAGGGTCTCCTTACTCAACCAACTCTAATTAGTACTGTTCTGGTGGCTCTCTCTATCTCTCTTGCCCACACAAATTTCTTTTGGAAACACTTGCCTATAAATAGACGTCGAACCTAATGTGCTTTGTCTTATTAATATCACGTGCTTATAAGAGATTTCCGGAAGATATAATAAAACTTATTTTTTTTATTATATAGATTGATACATATGCAACTTGGTCAAGTTGTATTGAATGAATATCTTTTATTTCTCTACAAACATATATAAAAATTACAAGTCTCACTTAACTCTTGAGTGATATAAATTACGAGTTTTATTTGACTCATGGGTGAATCGAATACATTGCGAATAACTCACATGAGTCATTCCATCGTAGTGTAATTATTAATACTACGAGAATACGTGATCTTAAAGTTTTGTTATGTCTAATTTTTTTAGAATTGTTTAGTTTTTTATCAAATAATTGATTGATGTGGTGAATTCCAATGGTGGTAAGGAANATGTGCTTATAAGAGATTTCCGGAAGATATAATAAAACTTATTTTTTTTTATTATATAGATTGATACATATGCAACTCGGTCAAGTTGTATTGAATGAATATCTTTTATTTCTCTATAAACATATATAAAAATTACAAGTCTCACTTAACTCTTGGGTGATATAAATTACGAGTTTTATTTGACTCATGGGTGAATCGAATACATTGCGAATAACTCACATGAGTCATTCCATCGTACTGTAATTATTAATACTACGAGAACACGTGATCTTAAAGTTTTGTCATGTCTAATTTTTTTAGAATTATTTAGTTTTTTATCAAATAATTGATTGATGTGGTGAATTCCAATGGTGGTAAGGAAGATAGGTTGCTAAGGCAGTGTGTGTATGCTGACCAGATTATTGTAGACGGCTGATAATGACCAGGGGTGAGGGAAGGGCAACAGTTTGACAAACTTGGCTGCTGATATCTTTTTCCTGGAATGTGCATTGAATTTTTTAGCATCCTTATTGAGACTTGATGGGGTCCTCACCATTGCATCCGAAGAAATAAATTAAAGTTAGCTACGCCTATCTTTATGGGCTTAACTAGACTGTAACTCATTCATAGGGTTAAGTAGAAGAACCATACGATATCAAAAATCTTAGGCCTCATTAATTGGGTTCCAATGAGTCCCATCAACACTAGTTAGCCAAGATAAACCTGATAGTAAATGAATTTTATCCAATTTCAACGTAGCTCAAATGATAATAAAGGCGAATTATAAATTCAGACGTCTTAAATTTAAATTTTGACAATTTTTTACAGTTAGATAAGACTGATAATTAAACCGAGCTACTCAATTTCGGCTTTGATTTGACTTTTTAGAAAATGAGCCGAATTAAAATAATATTTTAGATTCGTTNGGTCAAATGATAATAAAGGCGAATTATAAATTCAGACGTCCTAAATTTAAATTTTGACAATTTCTTGCAGTCAGATAAGACTGATAATTAAACTGAGCTACTCAATTTCGCCTTTGATTTGACTTTTTAGAAAATGAGCCGAATTAAAATAATATTTTAGATTCGTTTGAAAAACGAGCTCAACATGCTAAGTTTGAATTTGACAAGCTTCACTAATTTATGTGTAAATATTGGACCTTGACTTAAATACAATTCATTTTGGACTAGTTTAAAGAAACGAGTTCGACAAGCTCGAGCGCATTCAATTATCAACCCTAAGGTTAAATTAGACAACCCTTTGAAACTAAGTCATGAGAGATATGAATATCCTAGTGCCAATCTAGATGACTTCAAACAAATGNGTAAATATTGGACCTTGACTTAAATACAATTTGTTTTGGACTAGTTTAAAGAAACGAGTTCGACAAGTTCGAGCGCATTCAATTATCAACCCTAGGGTTAAATTAGACAACCCTTTGAAACTAAGTCATGAGAGATATGAATATCCTAGTGCCAATCTAGATGACTTCAAACAAATGATAAAGTTTGAAAATGCAATTATATTTGATTTATATTTTATCCAAAATTTTAAAGTATGACCGTTAATTTTAACAAGAAATTCGAGTGTGATATATCATTTCAAAATTATAGGGGAGTGAAAGGTTAGGTACTTGAACCATAGATCGATGAAGTAGTAATCTTAATAGAAAAACAATTTTATGCCACAGCCCAACTGCTAAAGAAAAATCATGTTATTCGGTCAAAAATGGTGTATGCAAAGACACTTGTCGATATTTAATTCATGATGATAACTAATGTTTTCGTGCTGATGCATGGAGGAATACACAAAAATCAAACTAGAGGACCAAGTTCATCATCTTTGACCACCTGCTGGTGGGAATATAGACCCTTGTTCAAAAGTATCATTTGAAAGATAATGTTATACCGACCCAAAAAATAATATATAAAATAAGGATTAAATGACGTGATATTACAATAATAATGGTTTTAAAAGTGTCTATTATGTCTTGTGTTGTGATATCATTTGATTTCTATTTTTGTTATACGATGAAAAGATGGGGAAACAACGATGAAAAAGTCAAAAACAAAAAAAAAAGGAAAAAGTTTTCTAATCTCTACCAGTTTTTTTCATATAGAAAACAAGACCTTTGGTGACAACCATTATGAATCCCTTGAATTACAGTCCTTGAATTACCAATTCACGAAAAATGCTGCCCAACTGTGTCAACAAATTTTATAAAAGATGGAATATTTGTTTCAAAGTAAGGAAAATTACACATTTTCCCTTCTCTTTGGGGGTGTAGCTTGATTCAAAATTTAGGCTTGTTCACATGTTCTTTTGTTTTCTTATGTATGCATCCACATACCATCGTTATAATGATTATTATAAAATTACAACTTTCGTATAATGCATCCATAGCCGAGAAGAAAACACCAAAGTTTGTTTCACATGTTGGTAGAGGGTAAACAAAGTGAATTCAACCTTGTGGGAACGGTCAATGGCGGCTACCTCCAAACTCCCACCCCTAAACCTTTTGAAGGAAGAAGAAAACAAAGAAAATATGGAACAATGACTTTCAAAATGGATAATTTAAGAAAATTTATATGTTTTATTGACTTCAGAAACTACAAACAAGTAATTGCGGAGTCCAATTTTGTGGGTGTAGAGAGAAAGATGATGAACATTTACTACTATCAATGGACATAAGCAAAGCTTTCTCTAAGTCTTTTGGTGTGCGGCGCTTGATTAAAGAGACAGCATAGTCCATGAATAGTGCATCACAGGGTAATGTGATAGGCCCATCACTTGGTAATCCAAATTCTTCCTCTGACATTTTGAAGAGCTCTCTAAAGATGTGATTGTTAAGATAAGCAATAGGGAAAGCATATCGTTTTTCGTCGGTCGTGTACACTACAAAATGGCCTTTATCAGCCACTGATGATGAACTGCTACTGCTGGTACCAGCATGATCTTCGGTGGGTGGTGGCGAAATTCTTTTCCTCCTGATGGCAGCCACCCTCTGCCACTTCCTAGCCATTTTGATGATTTTCTTCATATTGGTCATGATGTCTTGATTTCTGGATAGAGGATGAAGGAGAGGAATTTAGATTCTAAAACAATGAGNATGTGATATTACAATAATAATGGTTTTAAAAGTGTCTATTATGTCTTGTGTTGTGATATCATTTGATTTCTATTTTTGTTATCCGATGAAAAGATGGGGAAACAACGATGAAAAAGTCAAAAACAAAAAAAAAAGGAAAAAGTTTTCTAATCTCTACCAGTTTTTTTCATATAGAAAACAAGACCTTTGGTGACAACCATTATGAATCCCTTGAATTACAGTCCTTGAATTACCAATTCACGAAAAATGCTGCCCAACTGTGTCAACAAATTTTATAAAAGATGGAATATTTGTTTCAAAGTAAGGAAAATTACACATTTTCCCTTCTCTTTGGGGGTGTAGCTTGATTCAAAATTTAGGCTTGTTCGCATGTTCTTTTGTTTTCTTATGTATGCATCCACATACCATCGTTATAATGATTATTATAAAATTACAACTTTCGTATAATGCATCCATAGCCGAGAAGAAAACACCAAAGTTTGTTTCACATGTTGGTAGAGGGTAAACAAAGTGAATTCAACCTTGTGGGAACGGTCAATGGCGGCTACCTCCAAACTCCCACCCCTAAACCTTTTGAAGGAAGAAGAAAACAAAGAAAATATGGAACAATGACTTTCAAAATGGATAATTTAAGAAAATTTATATGTTTTATTGACTTCAGAAACTACAAACAAGTAATTGCGGAGTCCAATTTTGTGGGTGTAGAGAGAAAGATGATGAACATTTACTACTATCAATGGACATAAGCAAAGCTTTCTCTAAGTCTTTTGGTGTGCGGCGCTTGATTAAAGAGACAGCATAGTCCATGAATAGTGCATCACAGGGTAATGTGATAGGCCCATCACTTGGTAATCCAAATTCTTCCTCTGACATTTTGAAGAGCTCTCTAAAGATGTGATTGTTAAGATAAGCAATAGGGAAAGCATATCGTTTTTCGTCGGTCGTGTACACTACAAAATGGCCTTTATCAGCCACTGATGATGAACTGCTACTGCTGGTACCAGCATGATCTTCGGTGGGTGGTGGCGAAATTCTTTTCCTCCTGATGGCAGCCACCCTCTGCCACTTCCTAGCCATTTTGATGATTTTCTTCATATTGGTCACGATGTCTTGATTTCTGGATAGAGGATGAAGGAGAGGAATTTAGATTCTAAAACAATGAGATTGTATTGTTGTCTGTGCTGAGTTGAAGGCAGTGGAGATCAGTTATATAACCACAAGTCCAGAGACACACCATTGAATGTAGCTTTGTTTATGTTGGAACTCAAGGGGGCCAACCCATGGGGGTTAATAGGATGAAGAAGGTGCTTGCAGGGTGAACTTGTTTGGTTGTTGGAAATCAACTTATCTTGTTGATTTCTTTCTGTCAAGTGGTTTCATGACACATTGGGGTCCAAATCGGTTGAGAATATCATAATTGCAAGTTCTCAAGAACCACAGAAATAAAGCTAAAATTGAACAAATTGCTGGACTAAATCTTCTGCTAATGTAACTCTATACCCACTTTCATGAATATCTCGGAAGAGTTTGGTGAAGGTGGTAAAGTTGGCCGGTTTAGGGAAGCGCAAGCGGAAGCATGTTGGACCCAACATGTGGGTATGAGCTACCAAACAAGAATGTAAATGTGAGCATACCTCAATGAGATTTTATTTTATCAGCAGGTATCAAGGTCCTTTCAGACCACCATTCATTTGGAACTTATGCAGGCTGTGTTGTAGACAACAAAGCTTAGGGACCCAGTATTAATCCATTCAGTCCTAGTGCAGGGAANTTTTTTATCAGCAGGTATCAAGGTCCTTTCAGACCACCATTCATTTGGAACTTATGCAGGCTGTGTCGTAGACAACAAAGCTTAGGGACCCAGTATTAATCCATTCAGTCCTAGTGCAGGGAAAGTTTCTAATGTATTCAGTGACAATAACAAAGTTTAACTTCCTAATTACTTCAAGTACTATAGGCTATGAACAGTTGTAAAATTAGTTGGTGAGTAATGAACTTTAAGGTATCATATTTTGTGATCGCTATTGAATGGTTTTCACATGTTCTGTAACTTTCTGTAGTTCAGTTTATGTTTCTTGATCCATGTTATGCTCTCTTCCCTTGCATTCTAACGAATTGCAGGAAATCTCAATTGATGGGTGACATAAGTAGCCTTACTGATATAACACTCATCAGCCTTCTACAGCAGATCAAGAGTTTAAGAATGAAAAGCACACAATTCATTTTCTTAAAAAAATGGAAACTGATTTTTGAGGATCAAAACAGTAAAATGCTTATCAAGCAATTCATTAAAATGGCAGGGAAATGCCGAAGGCGCTGCTAGTGGAATTGGACGCTCTTATCAAGCAAATGATTGTTCCAACAGATATATCTATACCACATTCATATAAATAGTTTGGCCATTTGATATCTTACAATGATTTCAGATATGAAATGTTCAAACATTCCTATAACTTCTCTTGTAAAACCCCATCTGTTCCACATAAATAGAAGTAAAACAGCAAATCTCATTGGCCATCTCATGTGATCTGTTGGATTTTAGACAACAATTTTTGCTGGCAGTGGCAATATGGTGGGGGCCAAAATCTTGTAGTCTTGCTATCAGTTGAATGAACTTTTACTTCTAATAGAAAGTCATCACAATCTTGGATAAAATTTTCGTTATTTTGATGTTTGATGAATCAATCTCGACTGTTGCTATCTCATATTCCCAAGCAATGGTATTTTTGATGGTTTTCAATCATAGAAACAGGATTTTTAGTCAACTGTACCAAAAATTCTGAGAGCATCCCTTCACATCTACTCAATAATAAAGGATAAATAACAAAGTCTGATGATGTCGGTAGAAATAAAATGTTCCTTTTATCTTACTTTTTTCTTGTGCAATTTTTTGAATTCAAAATGCTTCAAGTTTAACACTGACTGTAAACTTGCTTTGGTATAATGTTGCTTCACCATTGATCTGACCTTTGAGTGTATGACAGATTAAGTTGAGATCTTAAGTGAAAACATGTGTAGCTTTTTCTATATTTAGTTCATCAAATTACATAACAAAATTTGATGGAAGAATGAAAACCAAAATCTATTATGACCATAGCATTTTGAGATCTTTATAACCTCCAGACACTACCCAAAATAGAACACAATCGCGTGTTAACAGAAAAGACTTTTAAAATGAATGCTAAATCAATGTTGGTGTCATTAAATATATCAATCTAAAATTATAATTGCATAGAAAATTGAATTATAATGCAATTCAGAAGCTGCAGATTAGCAGTTGTTGATTGGTTTGTCCTTGTTGGATGAATGAAGATGATGAACAGCAATCAGAAGTCATGGATGTGACCAGTGCTTTCTGCAGATCTTCAGCTCATGCCTTTGCATTGCAGAGACTGCATACTCCATGAAGAATGCATCACAAGGAAGTGTGATAGGCCCATTACTTGGCAATCCATACTCTTCTTCGGCCATTTTTAGTAGCTCTCTGAAAAAGTGACCTTCAATGTAAAACCCGATAAAAAAAAATATTATTATTATTATTAAAATCCTAATAAAAAGGGTAAAATAATAATTAATTGTTAAATTATGGGTCAAAAACATAAATTTTAAAAAAAATAATATATAACTTTTTGTGGTTTCTACAGCCGGCGACAAAGAGGGAGTGAAAAAAAAAAAAATGAGTTTTTATTTTTTTTTTCTCTTTTCTTCCTTCTCAGATCTAAGAAAATTTAACCGTTTAATCGCTTCAGGCCAAGAATTAAAGTTGCTCTACTCAGCGAGAGCTACGCAACCACACCAAATATCGTATTTTTCTTCGAAGGTATATCAAAACCGATAATCTAGACCTAAAACTTCGGAAGCTAAATTTGGGCTTCCTTGGCGTTCTAGTAAGTGGTCTCACGCTACGAGAGGTAGGGTTTTCCCTATTTAGATTTAATTTCAACTTAAAATATGACATATGGAATGAGTAGATTATGAGTGTATATCACATGTTAGGTCTTGACTAGTGGGTCAAATATAGAATTTATAATTAATCTTGTGATTAATAAAATTCTATTGTGATTAACTTGGTATAAGTTAATGTTAGTAGTTTAAAGCATGTTAATTGTATGTTAGCATTACTTTATATTTTAATGGAAGATCAAGTTTAATAAAATTATTAACTTGTTATATGATTGTGAAATAATATATATATGTTAAATGATTATTTAACATATGATTATTTTGGTGGACTTTGTGCTTATGTTAAACATGTTATCATGTTGCAAGTCATAGCATGCTAGTTGTGTAAATTGATGTGCTCTTTAGGTGTTTGATTAAATGCCTAGGTGAATACAAGTATGTTAGTTGAGTTGATTATCTTACATAACATGCTTGAGATCGTGTTAAAATGTCATTACATTGTATTTCATTATGCATGGGTTGCACTACATTCATGGGCATTGACATGGGTGAGAGTGTATGAATGGTATGAAATCAATCACTACGTAGGTGGTTGAACGTGGACTCGGAAAAGTCGCACCAAGGTTCGGTTGAGTCGCACGAGAAATTAAATGGATAAATGTGTTGGGGACAGCACGAAGGGCTAGATTCTCCCTCGGGTGCAAGACCCGCTTACTTGGTTTATACACTTTCCGGTGGTGAAATTCCAAAAAAGTGTAACGGCGGAAACGGAGCCGCAGGTGGGATGTCCTGAAGATCCGTTGATGGTTGGTGTCCCATTGGTGTAATACCATAAATCACCTCCCCACAAAGACACAAGAAAATGAATTAATTAGTCATTGAGTGTACATAACACCAATGATGGGGGCTTGGAATGCTCGGATACATACGCATGACATTGCATGTGTTATGGGAGCTCAGGATGGGGCTCGAGGTTGGTATTGCTTGCATGAGTCTCATTTCATGGCATGACATGATCTATAACATTCAATCATAATAGACATATTTAAATGAATGTATCAAATGATTGTTGCATGTGACATTCCATATTCATTTAGGTTGAGAGGTATTCTCTATAGGAGTTACCCTATTGAGCGTTGTCTCACCCTTAATGGGAATATTTTTCAGGTATCGCACAGGCGTCCACCGAAGGAGAGGCCATGGGCCCGCTTTGACGACAGAGCCGGTTTGTGGCTTTTATTTTGACATTGTAGTCCCTTATTTATACTTACTTTTGGCCTTGTATAATTTTTGTAACAAACATTNGACGACAGAGCCGGTTTGTGGCTTTTATTTTGACATTGTAGTCCCTTGTTTATACTTACTTTTGGCCTTGTATAATTTTTGTAATAAACATTGTTTATATTTACAAAGGCATGCATATGAGACTCTTTTGGGACATTTATTCTTTTACGAATAAATGTATGTACTGATAATGATTATGGTAGTATTCGAGACTATACAATTGTGAATGGATAGATAGACCCGGTGTGGTCAATGTTGTACAGGTTGCGTTTTGAGTAGAGCTCCTTATACAAAGGACACTCTGTCCAAATTTTGTTAAGTTATGGATCCCAAGAAATGGGGCATAACGGTGTGGTATCAAATTACACGATATCCACCAGTATTACACAGGTCGATGGATAACCAATCGGATAATTACAGACACCCGGACTTTGGGGTGTCACAGNCAAATTACACGATATCCACCAGTATTACACAGGTCAATGGATAACTAATCGGATAATTACAGACACCCGGACTTTGGGTGTCACATTCAAGAAATACTAAAGGAATCACAAACCGTCTCCGGTCAGCAGTGTACACAACAAAGTGATCCTCCGTGGTTCTTGGCAATGTTATTCTTTTACGACTGATTGCGGCCAGCTTCAGCCACTTTCTGGCAATTCCAACAAGTTTCTTAGTACTGATCATGTTTTTTTTGGTATGGTAAAAAAGGAGTTTAGAAAGGAAGATTTTGATGTAGACAGTAAAAGGAGCTCTCAAGTGAATTAAAACACTGAAATGCTATTTCTTTGACGTGCTGAAGGGAAGGAAGTGGTTGGCTGGTTATATACACACAAAGCCAGAGACAGTGCATTAACTTGAGGTTTCCTTGTGCAAGGGTAAAGGGGAAACAACTTCATGTGATGGTTGTGGTGTTTGGGTGATGGGCATGTTTGGTTTTGGTTGGAAATCAAACCATCAAGGTGGAACATAGTGCTGTATAACTCACAACTTTCTGTAAAGAGGGTTTGCCTATTTGGGTGTTTTTGGTTGAGCTGTACATATATAGGGTTTGATTCATTGTAGTTGTCTCTGTCAAGAGGTTTAGTGACATCTTGGGTCCAAAATTGGTGCTTGTAGGCACAAGAAGTTATGCCAACCACTCATGCTATGAGAATGAAGAATGTCACATTGACAACCAAGTGCATCCGCAAGCATTGTGGCAAAGGAAATTGATACTTTATCAATGGCCCACTCTTTCTTGGAACCTTGTCAATGGTGGCACTTACACATAAGAATTAAGTGGCCACATGCGATAACACTCCTTACCCGAAAAAATTCAATGGAATAGATTTGTTACGAGAAAAGTAATTCATCATTCTTGTGTGGTCTATAGAAATTAAAGGCCCCCCAATTTATTTAAATTGAATGTCATTTTGTTTGATATATTTNCTGAAAAAATTCAATGGAATAGATTTGTTACGAGAAAAGTAATTCATCATTCTTGTGTGGTCTATGGAAATTAAAGGCCCCCCAATTTATTTAAATTGAATGTCATTTTGTTTGATATATTTATAAAATGAATTATTTTGTTAGTCCATTATCTTTTAACTCTCAAGAAAATTCAAATTCAACATACTTGAAGCTCTATAAAATCAAACTAAATTGGAAAGCTTATATCGACTCCGTCGGTACAATGGAGACAAAAATTTAGTTTAGAGGCTGAATTAAAATTATGAAATAATTTAGGTGCCAAATTGATAATTGACCATTAATCTGCCGATAGTACGCTTGGGATTACGCTAATGTAAAGACATTCGTATCCTGGTCTGGGACGAGATGCCCCTCCCTAACCCAAACAGGCCTGGTTCACCACGCTCTGCATTGGGCACTTCCATTTTCAATAGCAAATTTATGTGGATGTCCCACAAAAGCTTATCCCTCTGTGTGTGTGTGCGTGTGCTCGTGTATGTGTACGCCAACGTAGGACGCCAATTTGAAATATAGTGGTTAACCCAACGGACAGAGAGAGTAAGGGAGACCCATGGAAGGCTTGAAGCTGTCATACTCTCTGCACCTGAGCCATGGCGGGAAGACTCTCCACCCATTTACTGCTTCGACCTTAGTTTCAAGATTTCATCCCAAATGCTACCTTCCTCTTTCCACCGGTACTCTGCTTGGCTAGTTCAATGTTTCTTACATTGTGAATTCTTGGGTGGGTTTTGTGTACAGAGGCTAATTTTACTTCCCAACTCTCTCTCTGCTACATCAGAGAGCTATAAATTGTTATTAGGCTTTTGGTGTAGCAAAATGAAACGATTCCTTATTTAGTCAGTCTTTGTTTTTGAATGTTGGTTTTACATCCTAACGCCCATATGACTAGAAATCTACCATGTTTTCTGTCAAAATATAGACTCACTGTTTTTTCTTTGATTCCTTAAAGAAAATCAGTCAAAAGTGAGAACCCACAAACGCACACACAGAAAGATCACTTGGGTATGCTTGTAGAGGTCCTTTTTTTCCTTTCTTTTCTTGGCATCACACTTTGCTTGGTACTTTTTATCTTTATACATGACTTATTGGTGTGTTCTCCTGGCTGATACACCAAACCTACACACAGGTTGTAGGCAATATGCAGGCTTCATTGTCCAAGCATTAGCCTTAGTCTATCCTAAAAGCTTGTCCTTTAGACATTTTGGTATGGGCAGAGTACAAGAATTACGATTCACTGCAGGAAGGACATCAGGTTGCTCTAGTTTATATAGTAGGTTATGAAGGCTTATAATAAGTTCTTTAGCTTTCAAAGGGATATAAAAGCGTGCTATATCTCATTTTCAGCATCTATGCAACCTATAACTGAGGAACTTGAGGATGATAAGTCCAAGGATTTCCCCACGAGTGGGGATTCCATACGACAGCGGTTTCTTGATTTTTATGCTGCACGTGGTCATAAGGTTCTTCCAAGTGCCTCTCTTGTCCCAGATGATCCAACAGTTCTACTGACAATTGCAGGAATGCTTCAATTCAAACCTGTATTCCTTGGAAAGGTACTTATATGTTGTTTCCCTGCTTTTTTTGGCGAAGCATGACTTGACATCTGCCAATTTTTCAATTGAAACAAAGACCAAATTATGAAGGTTGCATTAATTTGAATATCTCAAAATTGAAGGAAGATGCTGAATAATTCATGCGTGAGCACTGAATGCAATCTCTCTGTTATGGAATGAAAAGTTATTTTAAGCATCACCATGCAATGCAATCTATCTTTCATAGAGTGAAATGTTATATTGAGCAAAACCATGCAATGTGTGCCTCATTAACAATCATGCTCTAATATGGACAAAATGTTTAACATCCATTCAGTTTCAGTTTTAAGGCTTAGATTCTTAATATTCTCTCCTTTTGGGTACCCAAATAATTGGTAAAATCCAAACTCCTATCTCTCATTCATTCTTACAAGGACCATGAAACCGGACCCATTAGAAGTGATCATTGCAAAATTCATTCCCGCAAATCCATTTCACACTGTCTTCTTCGTCTCTAACTTATCTTTTTAAAATAGTGTGTACATTTTTAGGAAAACAAGATCTACTTGCTTCCACTTTTCATTAGGGCATGTGACATTAGCCAACGGGTCCCTATCCTCTTCGAACTCATGAAAAAGATCTGTGATTGCTACATGTTTATCCCACTATCTCTACCTTTCTCTCACTTATTTTTCCTTTATACATTTGAAGACCATTATATATATTCATGTGAAAGAGAAAGCAATACAATATTGTTCCAAACTGCCCTAAGTGTATATCCACTCTGATCCTATATATGATTTGCACATCCTGTTTGGATGCGGTGTATTAACTAAGAAGGCAATGATGTGTATACTATTCTTGCTATTGTATGCCATGCTCTTTGTCGAAGGTTGGTTTGGTACATGTCTTGTAAAATTCTTGGTGGTTGAATGGCTTTTACTTTTTCCCTTTTCTGTTTTTTCATAGGCACATGGACGGGAGTGTTTTAATGTTATTATTCGGAGGATGTACATGTTGGAATAGGGAGAATTGAGCTGGTACTTTGACTCCGTTTTAACAGTATCCAAACATTCTGTTCAGGTGCCCAGACAAGTGCCTCGTGCCACAACTTCTCAGAGGTGTATTAGAACAAATGATGTTGAGAATGTAGGCCGGACATCTCGGCATCATACATTCTTTGAGATGCTCGGAAATTTCAGTTTTGGAGATTACTTCAAGAGAGATGCAATTAAATGGTCCTGGGAGCTTTCAACCATGGAGTATGCATGAATTTACTAATTGCACCATTATATACCAGGCTGATAGTTGTGCATTTCGATAGAAGCATGACGAGATTAGCTATTGACTAAATTTTGTTTGCAGTAGTGATTGAGCTTTTGTTCATTTTATTGTCATTTTCCTCTTCTCTTCATGTTGTACTGATCGGTCTCTTTCTTAGAAGATTTTAGAGTAAATCGTCTTCTTCCTTTTTCTGTTCGCTGGCATGACCTTATGAATAAATGATGAGTTTATGCACTCTTTTTTAGTATGGCTCCCACAGTAAAAATTTAGGTTAAATTGCACTTTAGTTCAATCCCTTTGTACTTCATCTCTCTCACATTCACAAATATACAATGCCTTCATGTGGTTCACACGTAAGTTATCTTGATACATTCTCGCCATTAGTGCCCATCCAACAATCACCTATCATCTGGCTCTTAACCCCCCTCACCCTGTGGGCAGAAACCCGTTGCACCACTGCAACCCACCCTTCCCCAGTGGGCTGAAACCATCTGCACCCAATAGCTCACCATCCCACTTTCCCACCTAGCAGAAATCCTCCATCCTTGCAACCCATAAACCATCACCACAACCACCTTACTTTGCACTTTCTCTCTCCTATTTTTTTCTCACCCAGCCTGCATCCATTGATGATTGGTAATGAATATTGGAGGATAGGCAACAGTAGCAGTTGTTAGAATTGATCAACAAAGATAAAGAGAGTAGAGAAAAGAAAGAGAGAAAATATAATTAGACTAAAAGCCAATCTGTAATACACAAATTAATCCTAGAAATACACAAAGTAAGTCTTATATAGTAAGGCATAATACAACATAAAGAAAATGTCTAAATTACCTTCAGTATTAATACTCTAACACTCCTTCTCAAACTTATGATGTGACGGAAAACATCAAGAGTTGGTCAAGAAGAAATCGAAAACGTGCTATGATGTAAGATTTCGTAAAAAAATCCGCTATTTGCATGGTGGAAGGAAGAAAGGGGAGAGTGATGGTGCCCTGGTGAAGATGATAGCGCACAAAGTGACAATCAATTTCAATGTGTTTTGTACGCTCGTGGAAGACCAAGTTGTGAGCAATCTGAATAGCACCGGAGTTGTCGCATAACATAAGAGTAGGAGAAGATATCGAAATGTCAAGGTCAGCAAGGAGCCATCGTAACCAAACTATCTCAGCTGTAATAGATGTCATAGCACAATACTCAGCTTCAGCAGAAGAATGAGCAACCATAGTTTATTTCTTGGTTTTTTAGGAAATAAGAGTCTCCAAGAAAAAAATAGAAACCTGTGGTAGACTTGCGATCTATAGAGTCACTAGCCCAGTCAGCATCGAAGTAAGCCTTGAGTTTCATAGACGAGGAGTGAGAAAATAATAAACTTTGATATGAAGTACCACGGAGATACCGAAGAATACGTAGAATAATAGCCGTGTGAACTGTGGTGGGTGAGGCAACAAATTAACTCACAATGTGAACAACATAAGAGATATCCGGATGAGTGACTGTAAGATATACTAAACTCCTAATAATATTGCGATAGAGGATTGGGTCAAACATGGAAGTACCATCACATGAAGAGTAGCGAACATTGAGCTCTAAAAGTGTTTTAACTATCCGATTATTTGATAAGTGAGTTCGGATTGAGAGAGAAGATAGTCTTTAGGAGAGGAGACAATCTCAATGTCTAAGAAATACCTAAGCTGTCCTAAATTCTTCATTTCAAAATAATTCTGCAACTGAGTTTTCAGTAAGTATATACTAGCAGTGTCATTAGCCGTAATAATCATATCGTCAACATATAGTAAAAGAACAATAGAATTGGAGGAAGTAGACCTTAAAAATAGGGCATAATTATGGCCATTGACGCGAAAACTTAAGTCACAGATAATCAAAGAAAATTTGGCAAATTATGTCCTGAGAGCCCTTTTAAGGCCATATAAAGCACGATGAAGTCGATATACTTGACCAGAACGATAATACAATCTAGGAGGAGGTGTCATAAGACAATCAACTAGCACTTATCGAACCCATTGAATTGATCACTAATTTGACATATTGCACTTTCAGAGAGGAGCAGAGGTTGGTGAAATATTTGATGGCTCTTAGAGATGACTTCGAGGGATTTCGTGGTTCTGTTCTTTATCGTCACTCACTCCCCTCAGTTGATGTGGTTGTTAATGAGCTCTTAGCCGAAGAGGTTCACCTTAAAACCCTTTCTGGAAAGGGTCTTCTTCCAAAGTAACCTCTAATTCTCATTAACAAGTATCGAAGTTGAGCTGCTTCTAATGAGTGTAGCTTCTGTTATGAAAAAGGTCACTGGAAGGTACAATGTTCAAAGTTAATGAACAAGAATGCACAGAGGTCTCAAACTAAATCATTTAAGGCCAAAGATTGTCATATAACGGCTGTTGCACCGCTAGTGGATGAGTCAACTTCATCANTCAGTCATTTAAGTCCAAAGATTGTCATATAACGGCTGTTGCACCGCTAGTGGATGAGTCAACTTCATCAGCTCCCAGTCTGACTATGCTTGTAGATCAGTTGCAGAAGTTTCTCTCCCTTCCTTAGTCTAGTGCTCTGATAACATGTTAGAATTGATCAACAATGATAAAGAGAGTAGAGAAGAGAAAGGGAGAAAATATAATTAAACTAAAAGCCAATCTGTAATACACAAATTAACCCTAGAAATATACAAAGTAAGTCTTATATAGTAGGGTAACACGACATAAAAAAAATGCTTAAACTACCCTTAGTATTAATACTCTAACAACAATTAACAAGGGAGATTTTTCAAGAAAATTTTGATTTCAGAGTTTTCATACTGGTGATTAAAGTGAAGATACTGGTGGCAAGGAGGATAGGAGAAGTGGGTGGGCTAGAAGACTTCATAATGTGGGTGTGGAAGGGTGCAGCATATATGTCAAAGTGATAGAAACACGTGCATAGTTGCTTGTGTGGATTTTGTTTGGCAGAAACATTTAAGCCAAATTTTGGCAATGTCAGACATGGCGCTAGTAGAAATCAATGTAGGGCAACAAGAGCTCTGAGGAAATTACGATTGGTTAGTTCTACAAGGTCATTTTAGTTCACATTTGGGCAGAAAATGCATGCCAACTAACGAATTAGAGGCACATCTCACATGCACTATGATTGAACAAAAATTATAACTGCATTTTGACTTCTTTTATTCTAATGATAGAACTCAACTCAGCAAACCTTTAAACTCCATCTGCTTGGAACTCCAGCTTTTTCTAGAGTATATCTTCTGTAAAATCATAATCCTTCATGTCTTCTCCCTTCATCTCAGATAAACATTGTGTCACTTTTGGTCAAAGCATAGGCTAACATAATTTTCATTTTGAACTCAGTTTACAACCTTTTTTTGGGCTCCCCTGTTTTCTTTGAAGCATCATTAACCCAGCGCCTAGCTCTCCTAGAGTTTTTGCAGTGTTATTGCTCGACTTGTCTCTGTGGGACCTCAATCTGTGCATCATGTGTACTTATTCTGATTTGTCTTTTCTTGTCTTCCCTTCTTTCTCAACAGCCTCATTTCACATGATTAATTTTCAAGCATTGCATTTTCTTAGGCCAGACCAATGTTACCTAGATCGTGGGTCACTTTGGTACGTGATATAGGTACGAGTACATGGTACGACACTTTCTTAAGTACGTGATACGATGGGGGTAGGTTTAGCTGGTACAGTATTTGGGGTCACAATTCGTTTTAGAACTCTTATGTAGATCGTTTTCACTACTATACAACATTATATATTGCAAAACATTCATAAATACTAAGTTAGTTACCATTTATCTTATAATTGTACTTAATTTTCTATTATCTAAAACAATATATAATTATAAATCTATATACATGTAGTTAATTAATATGTATTTTATATTTGTGCTACATGTTCTAAAGTGAATTGATTTAGGGTTAGTATTGTAATTTAGAGTCGTCAATTTTGATGATCTAGATCGCGAACCCACCACGTTTTGGATCGATGTACCTAGATCGTGGATCGTTAAAGGTTTAGTGAATTGTGGTAACCATGGGCCAGCCAGTAGATGTCTTGTCGAATTTCCTGTAAAAATTGATCTTGAGTGATACCGTAACTAGTATTTGATAACATTTGGACTCCTGGTCTGAAAGCAATGCATGAAATTCTTTGGACCCTTAACAAGTTTCAGCATGTCATGCCACACAAAATATCTATATTTTAATAACAGGAGTTTGAAGTTTATAGCACACCCTAGTGTGAAAAAAATAGAGCATGAAAAGCTTGTGTTTATTTCACCTGGTTTCAAAATTCAAAAAGGGGGTGAAATAGGTCAGTGAGGACTTTTAAAAACAAACAACGTCATATGACCTCAACCATTCTCTTTTAAGTTTTAAAGAGCCTTGTTTTATTTTTTCTTTGCTCCAATCTTTTCGTTTTTCTTTTTCTGTTTGATTTCTCTTTTTTACTGGGGAAGTAATTGATTTCTTTTTTTCAACTTCCAAACCAAGGACTATTCTGTTTGATTAATTTTAGAAAAATAATTTTTGTTCTTAGTGAGAAAATCTTGGTGAATGATGTTTGACCAAAAAGTCCATACTTCACATGCAACTAACTGAAGGCAAGAACTGTAATTTTGTTTCTCGAGTCTTAAGATGAATTTTTCTCGGAAGGGTAAACGGATTAGCGGTTGTTGTTGGTAAAACTTAATATACTACTGGGTTTTGTCATATGATTTTTCCCTTAAACAGTCTTGGATTTGTTTTCTCTCAGCTAAAGTATTAAATAATTTCATTTGCTCTGTGCTTACAGATTTGGATTGCCAGCTGACAGATTATGGATTAGTGTTTATGAGGATGACAATGAAGCTTTTGCTATATGGCATGATGAGGTAGGCCAGACAGTTATGTGTTTATGGTATTTAATGTACCTTCTGTGATGTAAACTTTTATTCTATGTTATTCTCTTTCACATAACTCATATGATGCACTTCACTTGTATTTGCATGAATGAACCTCTTCACAAATATCTACAATTTTTTCCTGCACATTTCCCCTTAGATGTTGGGAGCATTCTCTTTTGGGTTTTTAATTAGTAAATATATATCTGGTCGCTAGACAAAGCTGACGTTTTCTACTGTGCCACAACTGCTACCTTTATGTATTTTTGCTAAGTGTACATAGTATGGCACCCAATTATCCTAGTATTATAGTCCAGATATGCATTTGATCTTTACTTTATCAATCTTTAAGCCACTGTACTAGTTTACCTGGCCGTTTCTATGCAGATAAGTTCTTAGACTAAAAAATAACGAAAGAAAATTTAAAGCAGCAGTGTAATTCTTGTCTCAGGTGGGAGTTCCTGTGCAGCGTATAAAGAGACTGGGTGCAGATGACAACTTCTGGACCAGTGGAGTAACTGGTCCCTGTGGTCCATGCTCTGAGATATATTATGATTTCCATCCTGAGAGGGGACATTCAAATGCTGTAAGCGTTCGACAAAGTTCAATTGACTGAAGCTTTCAACCTTTTTTCTTTGTTTTGGCCGAAGACATTGGCTGGTTCTTTCTATTGGTTATTTTCCTTTCTTTATTGGTTGGATGAGTCTTATTTGCAGGACCTGGGAGATGGTACTAGGTTCATAGAATTCTACAATCTTGTTTTCATGCAATATAACAAAAGAGACGATGGTTCACTTGAACCCTTAAAACAGAAGAATATAGATACTGGGCTGGGCTTAGAGCGAATGGCTCGCATCCTTCAGAAGGTACTTACAGTACAGCCATGTTTCTAGGTTACGAAGGAAAAACTATACTTTTCAATTCAAATAGAATGAGATACTTCCTGAGACTAATCTCATTGATGGCGTTTCTGTTACAGCAATGGTAATCATTATTTTGGGATTAAAAGAACCATCAATTCATAATTTTTCTGGTTATTATGGTTGAACATTGCTCATAGTTTGTTTACTTTGGTGCTTAGTGTGCTTCAGAGTTCAGAAGATCTGTTAATTTATACTAATCGGTAGAAAACAAGATCTATTAATATGGTAAACTTTTCTCTGCAGGTTCCAAACAATTATGAAACTGACTTAATTTTCCCCATTATAGAGAAGGCCTCAGAATTGGCAAATGTTTCTTACACTCTTGCAGATGATCCTACAAAGGCAAACCTTAAAGTAAACTATCCATCTATCATTTACGAGTTTGTGATGTCTTCACATTCTTTCTCTACTGTGCAATCTGATTTTTTCCCTTAAATTTTGCATTGAGAATTTGAGATTTTCTGTTGCCCTCAGATAATTGGAGATCATCTGCGTGCAAGTGTTTATCTTATATCAGATGGCGTAGTCCCATCTAATATTGGGAGGGGTTATGTAGTTCGACGGCTCATCAGAAGGACTGTTCGTACTGGCAGGTTACTTGGTATAAAGGGAGATGGGAAGGGAAATCTTGAAGGAGCATTTTTGCCAATACTTGCCAGAAAAGTAATTGACTTAAGCAGTCATATAGATTCAGATGTGAAGACAAGAGCACCCCGCATTCTGGAGGAGTTAAAAAGGGAAGAATTACGATTTGTTATAACATTGGAGAGAGGAGAAAAGCTTCTTGAGCAAATGTTGGCGATTGCATTATCAAGTGCGCAAGATAATGGGACTGTACCTTGTTTATCAGGGAAGGATGCATTTCTCCTGTACGACACATATGGGTTTCCTGTGGAGATAACAATGGAAGTGGCCGGTGAACGTGGTGTCAATATAGATATGAATGGCTTTAATATTGAGATGGAGAACCAAAGACGTCAATCTCAGGCTGCACATATTGCTGTTAAACTTGCAGTTGAAAATGGTGCAGATCTGACAGACAATATTCCTGACACTGAATTTCTGGGTTATGACACCCTTTCTACCAGAGCTGTGGTTGAGAGTCTCTTGGTGAATGGGAAACCAGTGTTACAGGTTGCTGAAGGAAATGACGTGGAAGTTTTGCTGAATAGGACACCCTTTTATGCTGAATCAGGTGGTCAAATTGGAGATCATGGTTTTCTGTGTGTTACTGAAACTGGTAACCAACTGAAAGCTGTTGTAGAAATAAAAGATGTACAAAAATCTCTAGGTAACATATTTGTTCATAAGGGGACTGTAATAGAAGGGGAGATAGAGGTTGGCAGAGAAGTTGAAGCTGCGGTAGATGCAGACTTGAGGAAGCGGGCTAAGGTACTGAGTTGAAAATGTCTTCAAAATATGGTTAACTTGCATGCATATGAGCAGAATTGGTGACTAGAGAAGTCTAACAATACCATCTACTACATTTTAGAGGTTTTTATCAACTTCTTGTATACATGCTATTACTGTAGGTAATGTGGTAGTTTTTGGAGCTTTTATCCATCTATCTTAAACACTTTTGGTTTGCTCTTTTGCAGGTTCATCACACTGCTACTCATTTGCTACAAGCGGCACTAAAAAATGTAATAGGCCAGGAAACATCACAAGCTGGTTCATTAGTGGCTTTTGATCGCCTTAGATTCGATTTTAACTTCCACCGACCACTAAAGGATAATGAACTTATGGAAATTGAAGGACTTGTCAACAGATGGATTGCGGATGCTACACTTCTGCGGACTAAAGTCATGCCTCTAACTGATGCAAAATTGGCCGGAGCTATCGCAATGTTTGGAGAAAAATATGGAGAACAGGTTAAAAATTCAATAGATTCTTGTCCTTCTGTGATTCTAACAATGAGATGATGCAAGTATTGAATGTGGGAATGCATAGCTAGACGGTCCTCGTAATTTTGAAATTGAATATGATATTGATCACTAACTTGATGCCAAATAGGTCTCATAGGGCTGTGTAAAGAATAAATTGGATTAGGACTTCACAAAAATCCAGCAACTCTAGAGTTGTACATCCCAATTAATAGCCACTGAACAACAAAAATAGTTTCAAGGGACCTGTCCACATTCATAATGACCATGACCTCACCTAGACTCATATTCCTCAGCTTGAGAATTCACGCAAATTCAGGTCAGATGCTTGCCACCTGGCAAATCACCTCTTGACCTGTCCACATTCTTACCGTTTGGCTTGTTGACTTCGAATAGTTTGACATTTTTTAACAGTTAAGCACTTCTGTTTGAGATATACTGATTTTCTTTATTAATGAAAGGCCAATGCAAACCCGGCACTGAACTAATTGTTTTTTCTATGACCACCTGAACTGTTTGCATTGCTCTCTTCAGTTAATAAAGGCTATGATGAAACTTTATGTTTTGCATGTGACATTGCTGAGATAACAATGTCAAAGAAAGCTGTATTTTTCCACCTCTTTTTAGTTCTACAGCATGGGTTACCCCAGAGGGCAATTGCCAAGTTTTAAGTGGATATTGGCTTAATTTCCATGACTGGTCAATTGAAATTGATATTTTCAAGCATTTGGCATCTTAAATTGTATATAATGAAGCTCAACAAGCATAACTGGAACTTTGGTGTCATACAATTTGGGTTTTACAACAGGAAATCAATTTGCTGATCATCTTCTTCTGTTCTTGTTTCTCTTTTTGGGTTCCTCTTTTCCATGAGGTTTTAGGTGCGCGTTGTAGAGGTTCCAGGGGTATCCATGGAACTATGTGGTGGCACTCATGTCAGCAATACTTCTGAAATTCGTGGCTTCAAAATAATCTCAGAACAGGGGATTGCATCAGGAATCAGGCGCATTGAAGCTGTTGCTGGTGAAGCTTTTGTTGAATATGTCAGTGCAAGAGATAACCATATGAAGCAACTATGCTCCACTCTTAAAGTAAGTATTTTTTTTTTGGGATTCTGCTTACCGGTGACAGAACTTGCCTTGATCCTTTTCGCATATGTGCTAAAGTTGATATGCTACATTTCATCTGAACTTTATCAGTCCTTCGATATTTATATCAAGCATGCATATGGCGGACGAATGATGTGTGTTCAAGTGTACATGTGGGTGTAGGCAGCTGTATCTGTATTTCCATATTTTAGCTCATTGTGATTTCCTAAGCAACATAGATTTTATTAGACCCTATTTCCTTGTCTTGCCTCCCCCTCTACCCGGGATAAGTTGGTCAGGTTTAGTCCATTATTTAGTAAACCTTCTCCTTAAAATTCTTTTTGCTGAAAAGGAAAATTAGAGTTCATCGTTTCCACATATTCTGAAACTTCGGCATAGCTGAATTCTGCTCAATTGATTTTATTTTCTTTCATAGATTAGGATAACGTTTGATACTTTACCTAGAGGAATCATGCCAAAAATACAATACACACATAAATTTTATGTGCTTGCACAAAGACCGGTTTTGTACTACAGGTGTTTTTCTGATTCCATCTGTGATCTCTCACAAGACATCATTTTGTGAAGGTAAAAGCTGACGAAGTGGTAACTAGGGTAGAATCTCTTTTGGAAGAATTGCGAATAGCAAGAAATGAAGTTTCAGCCATGCGTGGAAAAGCGGCAGTTTACAGAGCATCAATCATTGCAAGCAAGGCATTCACTGTAGGGACGTCGAAAACAATCAGGTAATTTTGTGCCTTATCTGCGCATGCTTTCAATTCTGATCTGTGGTTAAGTTTCTTTCATTCTTGCCAAACACTTCTTCACCCAATTATGTTTTTTTTTTGTCAAGCACGGAAATATTATAAAACTTAAAAGAAGTATAGAAGAGAGGAAAAAAGGATGTCTCGAATTGTACAAAATTTTGAATGAAAAGTTTCAGGAAAATGCTAAATAGACTTAAAAATTTGACTTGATGAATTGTTACTATTGACTAGGTAGTGGTCCCAATAAATACTGGACCCACAGTTAAATCAATAACAAATATAACAGCTATATCATCAAGTCAAGTTTTCAAATTAGTTTTTTTTAAGTCTGTGTATCATTGCTCAAAGTTTCAAGTGTGAATGAAGAAATTAGTATATGTCCATTTGGATTAAAAAATCAAATAAATTATGTCAATAGTGAGCTCATGGAAATTCACCCCCTCCCAAATGCCAAAAGTATACCCAGTGTTCTTTTTTACTACCTTGAATAATATGGGTGAAAATATGAATCTTAAAAAATCATGGAAATAGAATGACAGAAGAATTTGTTGACTTATCTTCTTGACATTTGGTGAAAATTATTTTCCAGGGTGCTAGTTGAGTCCATGGACGATACTGATGCTGATTCACTAAAGAGTGCCGCTGACTATTTGTTGGACACTTTACAAGATCCAGCAGCAGTGATTTTGGGTTCATGTCCAGGTGAAGGGAAGGTAAGCCTAATTGCTGCATTTTCTCCAGGGGTTGTTGATTTGGGAATTCAAGCGGGGAAGTTTATAGGGCCTATAGCTAAGTTGTGTGGAGGAGGAGGTGGTGGTAAGCCTAATTTTGCTCAGGCAGGTGGGAGGAAACCTGAGAATTTGATGAGTGCGTTGGATAAAGCTCGAGCAGAGTTTGTTTCCATTCTATCTGAAAAAACAAGCTGAAAATCATCAGCAGTGTCTAAGCACGAAATTTCTGGTCAGATTGAGTTCAGTTGACAATCTCCAAACATCTGAAAGCATCAACATGTCCCTATATACAAGTGTTCGTCAAGCAGTCTTACATTCATGATCACATCCTAAGACGCCAGCAGCATATTACACCTTTTCTTTTGGTAGGAGGCAAAAATTGTGAAGTGCATTATATGTTCTAGCTGTATTTGTACAAATTTATGCAATTCTGTTAGATATATATTACCCCCGAGTGGGCCAAATTGTACATATCTATCAAATGTTGAGCCCTTAGAATCAGGCTTGAGATAGTTTAATGAATTGGAAGCAGGACATTTTTAGCTTATGCTCAGATTTTTCTTTCAAAGTTTGGGTTGAGAGTACTATGAGAGGGAACCATAATCCTAGAGCAGTATGTACTTTGTCAAGCCCCCCATACCCCCTTACCAAACAGCCCCTTAAAGTACAATCTGCGAGCCTAGAACCCATTGATCTCTGAAACAGACTGAGAATCCACTTGTTTTTAAAAAGAGATGGATTGAAAGTTATCTGGCTTTGACCTCAGTGAAAGCAGAAAGAGTCCTGCAGAATCCTATGGGGCTGGTATGTAAATAACTTAAGGTCCCTCAATATAATTAAAGTTCCTCAACAGACTGATTGGGAACCTATATGTTTATATCCCTTTTATAAGGGCAAATATAATTGTTTGGTCAACATTGTCCTCTTTAACTGACCAAAGAGAATTTTTTTTGGTAGAGGGGGTGGGGGGGACCATATTCTGGCATCATTCTTGCTTTGTGCTGTTCTGGACTTTGTTCCTATCTCCACTCGACAACAAGCAATCTTCATATTCACTAAACTTTATCATTTCAAGCATTTATACTTTCTTTTCATTTCCTTTTTTTTTAAGCTTTTGAGGAATCGTAGGCTACACCAACAACCCCCACATAGGACTTCTTGTTGTTTGCTTCCATCAAAAGGTTGTTACACCTATGCTGTCATAATTGAATCACACAAATGCAGATAACAGATATGTCCCTCATTTAAAATTTGCATCTACTAATCCGGGTGTTGCCCAAAAAATCATTATCTAGTGATGGACACAAAGGAATAGAACCAGAGGAGAAGCTTATCTTCAAAGTGGGAAGAGTTTGTACCCTTACTAACAATTCTATTATCATATAACGACGACTACTATATCGAATTTATTATCCGCTTAAAAATTACAATTTAATAAAGATTAATTATAACAATTATAATTTAGTCCTGCAAAAGTAATGATCGATTCTAAAATACTAAATCATTTTTAAGCCATTCTATTGAGTGATAATCGAGAGTTATGAGTTGTGAGCTCACATAATCCTTCCAGTTCCCACTAGTGTTAGTGCAGAGGCAGAGTCGGTGAGACACCCAATCAATAATATTTTGCCTTTTGTCCCGCCGCGTGGAGGGAAATGCGTGTCTCTTTCCTTCCTAATCAGCACACTCCCATTAACAAACCCACTCAAGCGTTTNTAGACGCAAAGGAATAGAACCAGAGGAGAAGCTTATCTTCGAAGTGGGAAGAGTTTGTACCCTTACTAACAATTCTATTATCATATAACGACGACTACCATATCGAATTTGTTAACCGATTAAAAATTACAATTTAATAAAGATTAATTATAACAATTATAATTTAGTCCTGCAAAAGTAATGATCGATTCGAAAATACTAAATCATTCTTAAGCCATTCTATTGAGTGATAATTGAGAGTTGTGAGTTGTGAGCTCACATAATCCTTCCAGTTCCCACTAGTGTTAGTGCAGAGGCAGAGTCGGTGAGACACCCAATCAATAATATTTTGCCTTTTGTCCCGCCGCGTGGAGGGAAATGCGTGTCTCTTTCCTTCCTAATCAGCACACTCCCATTAACAAACCCACTCAAGCGTTTCTCCAGTTGTAATGCTTACCTGTACTCCATCCACGCTACTCTGTTTCGGCTCTGCACATGTATAAATCATCTTATTCTCTTCCCATTGAATCGTAACTCTCAACCTCAATTCACCTTCTTAACAAAAAAATGGGTCTCTTTCTTTGCGTTCTCTTCTTTCTCGTCTTCTCTGCAACTGCTTGTGATCGATGTGTGCATCAAACTAAGGTTGCTTACTTCTCCAGTGCCTCTGCACTCTCAGGTAATAAGACTCCAATTTCATCTTGTTTCTTTCAATTTATGTCTCCAATATGATCAAGATCAACCACGTTTGTCTAATGTCAAATTAATTAGGAAACCAAAAAGATTGTCAGTTTAATTGCAATTAGATAACTTCCTTTATTTTTCTCCATTGAAGCATAACGAGTAAGACTGTCAAGTACCAATTGAGTAGTATTGTGTCTGTTGCGTGTCATCTTCGCTAGGCGGAGAGTGTTGAGATACGAACCATGCTTTTCTAATGTGAAGTGAAGCCGCGTAGACGCAAATGCCAGTATCTTTCTTAAGAGTTTATATATAGCTGAACACATTTTTCTCCTTGTATGCTTAAAAAAATGGCCTCAACGGTTTTGTTTCTTGGTTTTTTCTTTTTTCTCATCTCCTCTGCCATAGCTTGTGATCGATGCCTGCATCATAGTATGGTGGCTTATTTCTCTAATGCTACCTCACTTTCTTGTAAGAGTCAACTTTATTCATGTTTCCTCGTGATTGATGAATTGATTGGTTGATTAACTCCCATGTGTCTTTGATTTAGAGCAACAAAAAAACAAAATTGGTATTGACCCAGGTAATATTTATTTGAATTGTTTAGTGGGTTGAAATTAGTTTGTGAATTCATTGCAGCTGGGGCTTGTGGGTATAGTTCCTTGGCCATAGACTTCAATGGTGGGCAACTTGCAGCCGCTGTTCCTAGCCTTTACAAAGATGGAGCTGGCTGTGGTGCCTGTTTTCAGGTTTGTATGCCTTATAGTACACTTGAGATTTATTCATTTGTTTGCTAGTATTTTTTGTTATGTGAATTTGATTTTATATGATGAATCATTGCAGATAAGATGCAAGAACACAACCCTTTGTACTGAGGAAGGGACTAGAGTCATAGTAACTGATCTCAATCGAAACAACCGGACGGATTTTGTGCTCAGCAGCAGAGCTTTCATGGCCATGGCTCACAAGGGTATGGGCCAAAACGTGTTAAAACTTGGGATTGCTGACGTGGAATATAAGCGGTGAGTACTGGAAAAAAAAAACACCTATTTCATTCATGTGACAACTTAAAAAACAAAGCCCACTCCTAAAGTTTGCCTTTTGCATATTGTTTGTTATTGTGATGGGTTTGTTTTGGGTCCCTCCATGTCCTTCCATGTTTTTGTTAAACAAGTACCAAACATATTGAGTGCTATCAACGGTCTAATAAGTGCATGCATGTGTTCAAATTGCTGACAACCAAACGGTCTAATTTTATCTGGCATGAATTAGGGTACCTTGTGATTACAAAAACAAGAACTTGGCTGTCCGCGTGGAAGAATCTAGCCAAAAGCCAAACTATCTAGCAATTAAGTTCTTGTACCAAGGTGGTCAAACTGAAATTGTCGCCGTTGATGTAGCTCAGGTAAATCGAAAGTTATACCATTTGAATACAACGGCTATTGGTTCATATGAATCATAAGGTCATGTGGTGTTGTTATTGCATATGTAGGTTGGTTCATCGAATTGGAATTTCATGAGCAGAAATCATGGTGCTGTTTGGGACACAAGTAGAGTTCCAACTGGGCCATTGCAATTCCGGTTTGTTGTGACATCTGGTTATGATGGGAAGTGGATTTGGGCACAAAAAGTCCTACCTGCTGATTGGAAAAATGGGTTGATCTATGATTCCGGAGTACAGATCACTGATATTGCACAGGAGGGTTGTTCTTCATGTGATGATGGAAGCTGGAAATAAGACATCTTCGTTCATTGCTAGTGTGAATGCAATGCACACAATAGGCGTCCCAGTCAAGAACACACAGTGAATTTGGTTATAGAAAAGATTAGGGTGTGACATTACAATTGGAATAGCTATGTTTTGAAACTTAAGAAAGAAAAAAAAATGATAACCTTTGTTGCTTTGAGGAGCTTTTGTTACTAGGACAAAGCTTTTATTGTGTTAGCACCAAAAAAGAATAACCAGACTTTTGCTTGGGTAACCCAGCGGTATTATTGATGTGCTGTAGCATATTTTTTCCCCTCACCTAATAAAATTTTGAATTTATAACTCTCTCTCTCTCTCTCTCTCTCTCGTACTACAGTCCTCTGATAACAGTAGGTATTGATAATGTACAAAATAATTTTACACACCACCTGTCAAGTGTGAATAATAAATACAGTAATTAAAAGTAAAGAGAGTTGGAAAAGACGGGGTTTATAATGGTTCGATNAGAGTCGGTGAGACACCCAATCAATAATATTTTGCCTTTTGTCCCGCCGCGTGGAGGGAAATGCGTGTCTCTTTCCTTCCTAATCAGCACACTCCCATTAACAAACCCACTCAAGCGTTTCTCCAGTTGTAATGCTTACCTGTACTCCATCCACGCTACTCTGTTTCGGCTCTGCACATGTATAAATCATCTTATTCTCTTCCCATTGAATCGTAACTCTCAACCTCAATTCACCTTCTTAACAAAAAAATGGGTCTCTTTCTTTGCGTTCTCTTCTTTCTCGTCTTCTCTGCAACTGCTTGTGATCGATGTGTGCATCAAACTAAGGTTGCTTACTTCTCCAGTGCCTCTGCACTCTCAGGTAATAAGACTCCAATTTCATCTTGTTTCTTTCAATTTATGTCTCCAATATGATCAAGATCAACCACGTTTGTCTAATGTCAAATTAATTAGGAAACCAAAAAGATTGTCAGTTTAATTGCAATTAGATAACTTCCTTTATTTTTCTCCATTGAAGCATAACGAGTAAGACTGTCAAGTACCAATTGAGTAGTATTGTGTCTGTTGCGTGTCATCTTCGCTAGGCGGAGAGTGTTGAGATACGAACCATGCTTTTCTAATGTGAAGTGAAGCCGCGTAGACGCAAATGCCAGTTTCTTTCTTAAGAGTTTATATATAGCTGAACACATTTTTCTCCTTGTATGCTTAAAAAAATGGCCTCAACGGTTTTGTTTCTTGGTTTTTTCTTTTTTCTCATCTCCTCTGCCATTGCTTGTGATCGATGCCTGCATCATAGTATGGTGGCTTATTTCTCTAATGCTACCTCACTTTCTTGTAAGAGTCAACTTTATTCATGTTTCCTCGTGATTGATGAATTGATTGGTTGATTAACTCCCATGTGTCTTTGATTTAGAGCAACAAAAAAACAAAATTGGTATTGACCCAGGTAATATTTATTTGAATTGTTTAGTGGGTTGAAATTAGTTTGTGAATTCATTGCAGCTGGGGCTTGTGGGTATAGTTCCTTGGCCATAGACTTCAATGGTGGGCAACTTGCAGCCGCTGTTCCTAGCCTTTACAAAGATGGAGCTGGCTGTGGTGCCTGTTTTCAGGTTTGTATGCCTTATAGTACACTTGAGATTTATTCATTTGTTTGCTAGTATTTTTTGTTATGTGAATTTGATTTTATATGATGAATCATTGCAGATAAGATGCAAGAACACAACCCTTTGTACTGAGGAAGGGACTAGAGTCATAGTAACTGATCTCAATCGAAACAACCGGACGGATTTTGTGCTCAGCAGCAGAGCTTTCATGGCCATGGCTCACAAGGGTATGGGCCAAAACGTGTTAAAACTTGGGATTGCTGACGTGGAATATAAGCGGTGAGTACTGGAAAAAAAAAACACCTATTTCATTCATGTGACAACTTAAAAAACAAAGCCCACTCCTAAAGTTTGCCTTTTGCATATTGTTTGTTATTGTGATGGGTTTGTTTTGGGTCCCTCCATGTCCTTCCATGTTTTTGTTAAACAAGTACCAAACATATTGAGTGCTATCAACGGTCTAATAAGTGCATGCATGTGTTCAAATTGCTGACAACCAAACGGTCTAATTTTATCTGGCATGAATTAGGGTACCTTGTGATTACAAAAACAAGAACTTGGCTGTCCGCGTGGAAGAATCTAGCCAAAAGCCAAACTATCTAGCAATTAAGTTCTTGTACCAAGGTGGTCAAACTGAAATTGTCGCCGTTGATGTAGCTCAGGTAAATCGAAAGTTATACCATTTGAATACAACGGCTATTGGTTCATATGAATCATAAGGTCATGTGGTGTTGTTATTGCATATGTAGGTTGGTTCATCGAATTGGAATTTCATGAGCAGAAATCATGGTGCTGTTTGGGACACAAGTAGAGTTCCAACTGGGCCATTGCAATTCCGGTTTGTTGTGACATCTGGTTATGATGGGAAGTGGATTTGGGCACAAAAAGTCCTACCTGCTGATTGGAAAAATGGGTTGATCTATGATTCCGGAGTACAGATCACTGATATTGCACAGGAGGGTTGTTCTTCATGTGATGATGGAAGCTGGAAATAAGACATCTTCGTTCATTGCTAGTGTGAATGCAATGCACACAATAGGCGTCCCAGTCAAGAACACACAGTGAATTTGGTTATACAAAAGATTAGGGTGTGACATTACAATTGGAATAGCTATGTTTTGAAACTTAAGAAAGAAAAAAAAATGATAACCTTTGTTGCTTTGAGGAGCTTTTGTTACTAGGACAAAGCTTTTATTGTGTTAGCACCAAAAAAGAATAACCAGACTTTTGCTTGGGTAACCCAGCGGTATTATTGATGTGCTGTAGCATATTTTTTCCCCTCACCTAATAAAATTTTGAATTTATAACTCTCTCTCTCTCTCTCTCTCTCTCGTACTACAGTCCTCTGATAACAGTAGGTATTGATAATGTACAAAATAATTTTACACACCACCTGTCAAGTGTGAATAATAAATACAGTAATTAAAAGTAAAGAGAGTTGGAAAAGACGGGGTTTATAATGGTTCGATCAACGTGACTTACGTCCACTTTTAAATGACCTTGGTCGCCTGATACTTTATTAGTTTAATGGTGCAGGGAGCAGAGAGTACAAGTTTAGAGAGAGAGGAGAGAGTCGTGCTCAACAAAGTGAGATCTGCCCCTAAGTGTTGATGGGGTTTACAATTTATAGTCGCCCCCTAACAGATTGGGGCGACTTAATAACAATTAAATAACTATTCTAGTGGAGCTGACGACTTCTTCTCAACCGGCGAGGCGGTTGAGGTGCTCTCTATGAGACTCGGTTAAAGGATAAGATGAGGGTTGACTCTTTCCAAGGCTGCGAGGGGTAGGCTCTTGGTGACCCTTACTCCAAGGTGGTAGAAGAGGCTCTTGATGACCCTTGCTGATATAGCTCCTTAATTTTGGTGACCTTTTTCGGGTGCAGACTCCTTTGGGCTTGGCTAGTTGGATCTCTTGGAGTTGGACCCTTGAGTTTGGCTCATCATTTGCCCCACAATGCCTTGTGTCCAATGAAACTTGGAAAGGAGGGCATTTGATTAAGTTTGAATTTTCGGTTGACCGACACAACTGAAAAAATTTCGGGAGGCCAAAACATCTGCTTCCAAGCTTTTTTTGGACTTTTTACAACATTGGATTAAGTAGGGCTTGTCANTGTTTCCTCGTGATTGATGAATTGATTGGTTGATTAACTCCCATGTGTCTTTGATTTAGAGCAACAAAAAAACAAANTATTTCGTCGTGATTGATGGATTGATTGGTTGATTAACTCCCATGTGTCTTTGATTTAGAGCAACAAAAAAACAAAATTGGTATTGACCCAGGTAATATTTATTTGAATTNCGAGAGCTTCGATTTGATATATAATAAGTCCATATTTAGAGTCACGGAGCAAAATTTACAATCAAAATAGCGAAAAGGAACATTGGACACACGATTTTGGGCGAGCTGACCATGGAGGTGGGTGCACCTTTGGAGGCCTTGGGTGAGCTAACCAAGGAGATGGGCGTTCATGTTGTGCTGGATAGGCAGTTGGGCGAGCTGAGGGANAAATTGGTATTGACCCAGGTAATATTTATTTGAATTGTTTAGTGGGTTGAAATTAGTTTGTGAATTCATTGCAGCTGGGGCTTGTGGGTATAGTTCCTTGGCCATAGACTTCAATGGTGGGCAACTTGCAGCCGCTGTTCCTAGCCTTTACAAAGATGGAGCTGGCTGTGGTGCCTGTTTTCAGGTTTGTATGCCTTATAGTACACTTGAGATTTATTCATTTGTTTGCTAGTATTTTTTGTTATGTGAATTTGATTTTATATGATGAATCATTGCAGATAAGATGCAAGAACACAACCCTTTGTACTGAGGAAGGGACTAGAGTCATAGTAACTGATCTCAATCGAAACAACCGGACGGATTTTGTGCTCAGCAGCAGAGCTTTCATGGCCATGGCTCACAAGGGTATGGGCCAAAACGTGTTAAAACTTGGGATTGCTGACGTGGAATATAAGCGGTGAGTACTGGAAAAAAAAAACACCTATTTCATTCATGTGACAACTTAAAAAACAAAGCCCACTCCTAAAGTTTGCCTTTTGCATATTGTTTGTTATTGTGATGGGTTTGTTTTGGGTCCCTCCATGTCCTTCCATGTTTTTGTTAAACAAGTACCAAACATATTGAGTGCTATCAACGGTCTAATAAGTGCATGCATGTGTTCAAATTGCTGACAACCAAACGGTCTAATTTTATCTGGCATGAATTAGGGTACCTTGTGATTACAAAAACAAGAACTTGGCTGTCCGCGTGGAAGAATCTAGCCAAAAGCCAAACTATCTAGCAATTAAGTTCTTGTACCAAGGTGGTCAAACTGAAATTGTCGCCGTTGATGTAGCTCAGGTAAATCGAAAGTTATACCATTTGAATACAACGGCTATTGGTTCATATGAATCATAAGGTCATGTGGTGTTGTTATTGCATATGTAGGTTGGTTCATCGAATTGGAATTTCATGAGCAGAAATCATGGTGCTGTTTGGGACACAAGTAGAGTTCCAACTGGGCCATTGCAATTCCGGTTTGTTGTGACATCTGGTTATGATGGGAAGTGGATTTGGGCACAAAAAGTCCTACCTGCTGATTGGAAAAATGGGTTGATCTATGATTCCGGAGTACAGATCACTGATATTGCACAGGAGGGTTGTTCTTCATGTGATGATGGAAGCTGGAAATAAGACATCTTCGTTCATTGCTAGTGTGAATGCAATGCACACAATAGGCGTCCCAGTCAAGAACACACAGTGAATTTGGTTATACAAAAGATTAGGGTGTGACATTACAATTGGAATAGCTATGTTTTGAAACTTAAGAAAGAAAAAAAAATGATAACCTTTGTTGCTTTGAGGAGCTTTTGTTACTAGGACAAAGCTTTTATTGTGTTAGCACCAAAAAAGAATAACCAGACTTTTGCTTGGGTAACCCAGCGGTATTATTGATGTGCTGTAGCATATTTTTTCCCCTCACCTAATAAAATTTTGAATTTATAACTCTCTCTCTCTCTCTCTCTCTCTCGTACTACAGTCCTCTGATAACAGTAGGTATTGATAATGTACAAAATAATTTTACACACCACCTGTCAAGTGTGAATAATAAATACAGTAATTAAAAGTAAAGAGAGTTGGAAAAGACGGGGTTTATAATGGTTCGATCAACGTGACTTACGTCCACTTTTAAATGACCTTGGTCGCCTGATACTTTATTAGTTTAATGGTGCAGGGAGCAGAGAGTACAAGTTTAGAGAGAGAGGAGAGAGTCGTGCTCAACAAAGTGAGATCTGCCCCTAAGTGTTGATGGGGTTTACAATTTATAGTCGCCCCCTAACAGATTGGGGCGACTTAATAACAATTAAATAACTATTCTAGTGGAGCTGACGACTTCTTCTCAACCGGCGAGGCGGTTGAGGTGCTCTCTATGAGACTCGGTTAAAGGATAAGATGAGGGTTGACTCTTTCCAAGGCTGCGAGGGGTAGGCTCTTGGTGACCCTTACTCCAAGGTGGTAGAAGAGGCTCTTGATGACCCTTGCTGATATAGCTCCTTAATTTTGGTGACCTTTTTCGGGTGCAGACTCCTTTGGGCTTGGCTAGTTGGATCTCTTGGAGTTGGACCCTTGAGTTTGGCTCATCATTTGCCCCACAATGCCTTGTGTCCAATGAAACTTGGAAAGGAGGGCATTTGATTAAGTTTGAATTTTCGGTTGATCGACACAACTGAAAAAATTTCGGGAGGCCAAAACATCTGCTTCCAAGCTTTTTTTGGACTTTTTACAACATTGGATTAAGTAGGGCTTGTCAAGAGCTTCGATTTGATATATAATAAGTCCATATTTTGAGTCACAGAGCAAAATTTACAATCAAAATAGCGAGAAGGAACACTGGACACACGATTTTGGGCGAGCTGACCATGGAGGTGGGTGCACTTTTGGAGGCCTTGGGTGGGCTGACCAAGGAGATGGGCGTTCATGTTGTGCTGGATAGGCAGTTGGGCGAGCTGAGGGAGGAAACCACTGTTGGGGCACGCAGAGGAGGTGACCTCTGGGCGCGCGACTGGGGCTAGCACTGTGGATGTAAGGATAGCAGGTCAGGCAGGCAACAGGGTTGTTGTGTCGATTCAGGTGTTGAGCACCTATGCTGCGGGTGAGTAGGAAGGGATAGCTGAGGTGCCTGTTGCGCTGGGCAAACAGCTAGGAGTGCTTGTTGGGTGCGGGCGTGCTGGTCAGGTAACCCAACTGTTGGGTGCTGATAAAGTGGTGTCTGTGGTGTTGGGGCCCTACTGGAAAAGTGCCTAGGCATCGGTGCTGGATGGCGAGGCGAGTTATNTAAAGTTTGCCTTTTGCATATTGTTTGTTATTGTGATGGGTTTGTTTTGGGTCCCTCCATGTNACCTGTCAAGTGTGAATAATAAATACAGTAATTAAAAGTAAAGAGAGTTGGAAAAGACGGGGTTTATAATGGTTCGATCAACGTGACTTACGTCCACTTTTAAATGACCTTGGTCGCCTGATACTTTATTAGTTTAATGGTGCAGGGAGCAGAGAGTACAAGTTTAGAGAGAGAGGAGAGAGTCGTGCTCAACAAAGTGAGATCTGCCCCTAAGTGTTGATGGGGTTTACAATTTATAGTCGCCCCCTAACAGATTGAGGCGACTTAATAACAATTAAATAACTATTCTAGTGGAGCTGACGACTTCTTCTCAACCGGCGAGGCGGTTGAGGTGCTCTCTATGAGACTCGGTTAAAGGATAAGATGAGGGTTGACTCTTTCCAAGGCTGCGAGGGGTAGGCTCTTGGTGACCCTTACTCCAAGGTGGTAGAAGAGGCTCTTGATGACCCTTGCTGATATAGCTCCTTAATTTTGGTGACCTTTTTCGGGTGCAGACTCCTTTGGGCTTGGCTAGTTGGATCTCTTGGAGTTGGACCCTTGAGTTTGGCTCATCATTTGCCCCACAATGCCTTGTGTCCAATGAAACTTGGAAAGGAGGGCATTTGATTAAGTTTGAATTTTCGGTTGACCGACACAACTGAAAAAATTTCGGGAGGCCAAAACATCTGCTTCCAAGCTTTTTTTGGACTTTTTACAACATTGGATTAAGTAGGGCTTGTCAAGAGCTTCGATTTGATATATAATAAGTCCATATTTTGAGTCACAGAGCAAAATTTACAATCAAAATAGCGAGAAGGAACACTGGACACACGATTTTGGGCGAGCTGACCATGGAGGTGGGTGCACTTTTGGAGGCCTTGGGTGGGCTGACCAAGGAGATGGGCGTTCATGTTGTGCTGGATAGGCAGTTGGGCGAGCTGAGGGAGGAAACCACTGTTGGGGCACGCAGAGGAGGTGACCTCTGGGCGCGCGACTGGGGCTAGCACTGTGGATGTAAGGATAGCAGGTCAGGCAGGCAACAGGGTTGTTGTGTCGATTCAGGTGTTGAGCACCTATGCTGCGGGTGAGTAGGAAGGGATAGCTGAGGTGCCTGTTGCGCTGGGCAAACAGCTAGGAGTGCTTGTTGGGTGCGGGCGTGCTGGTCAGGTAACCCAACTGTTGGGTGCTGATAAAGTGGTGTCTGTGGTGTTGGGGCCCTACTGGAAAAGTGCCTAGGCATCGGTGCTGGATGGCGAGGCGAGTTATGCTTGGCAGCGGAGGCTGGTGACTTTGCTGATCGCGATGGAGGAGCGCTATTTGGGGACAAGCGCAGGCAGGGGAGCAAGTGCCAGATCTTTAGTGTTGGAAGCGTAGGTAAGCCTTGTTTGGGCTAGGTGCTAAGCATGGGAGTGNTCCTTCCATGTTTTTGTTAAACAAGTACCAAACATATTGAGTGCTATCAACGGTCTAATAAGTGCATGCATGTGTTCAAATTGCTGACAACCAAACGGTCTAATTTTATCTGGCATGAATTAGGGTACCTTGTGATTACAAAAACAANTTTTTGTTAAACAAGTACCAAACATATTGAGTGCTATCAACGGTCTAATAAGTGCATGCATTTGTTCAAATTGCTGACAATCAAACGGTCTAATTTTATCTGGCATGAATTAGGGTACCTTGTGATTACAAAAACAAGAACTTGGCTGTCCGCGTGGAAGAATCTAGCCAAAAGCCAAACTATCTAGCAATTAAGTTCTTGTACCAAGGTGGTCAAACTGAAATTGTCGCCGTTGATGTAGCTCAGGTAAATCGAAAGTAATACCATTTGAATACAACGGCTATTGGTTCATATGAATCATAAGGTCATGTGGTGTTGTTATTGCATATGTAGGTTGGTTCATCGAATTGGAATTTCATGAGCAGAAATCATGGTGCTGTTTGGGACACAAGTAGAGTTCCAACTGGGCCATTGCAATTCCGGTTTGTTGTGACATCTGGTTATGATGGGAAGTGGATTTGGGCACAAAAAGTCCTACCTGCTGATTGGAAAAATGGGTTGATCTATGATTCCGGAGTACAGATCACTGATATTGCACAGGAGGGTTGTTCTTCATGTGATGATGGAAGCTGGAAATAAGACATCTTCGTTCATTGCTAGTGTGAATGCAATGCACACAATAGGCGTCCCAGTCAAGAACACACAGTGAATTTGGTTATAGAAAAGATTAGGGTGTGACATTACAATTGGAATAGCTATGTTTTGAAACTTAAGAAAGAAAAAAAAATGATAACCTTTGTTGCTTTGAGGAGCTTTTGTTACTAGGACAAAGCTTTTATTGTGTTAGCACCAAAAAAGAATAACCAGACTTTTGCTTGGGTAACCCAGCGGTATTATTGATGTGCTGTAGCATATTTTTTCCCCTCACCTAATAAAATTTTGAATTTATAACTCTCTCTCTCTCTCTCTCTCTCTCGTACTACAGTCCTCTGATAACAGTAGGTATTGATAATGTACAAAATAATTTTACACACCACCTGTCAAGTGTGAATAATAAATACAGTAATTAAAAGTAAAGAGAGTTGGAAAAGACGGGGTTTATAATGGTTCGATCAACGTGACTTACGTCCACTTTTAAATGACCTTGGTCGCCTGATACTTTATTAGTTTAATGGTGCAGGGAGCAGAGAGTACAAGTTTAGAGAGAGAGGAGAGAGTCGTGCTCAACAAAGTGAGATCTGCCCCTAAGTGTTGATGGGGTTTACAATTTATAGTCGCCCCCTAACAGATTGGGGCGACTTAATAACAATTAAATAACTATTCTAGTGGAGCTGACGACTTCTTCTCAACCGGCGAGGCGGTTGAGGTGCTCTCTATGAGACTCGGTTAAAGGATAAGATGAGGGTTGACTCTTTCCAAGGCTGCGAGGGGTAGGCTCTTGGTGACCCTTACTCCAAGGTGGTAGAAGAGGCTCTTGATGACCCTTGCTGATATAGCTCCTTAATTTTGGTGACCTTTTTCGGGTGCAGACTCCTTTGGGCTTGGCTAGTTGGATCTCTTGGAGTTGGACCCTTGAGTTTGGCTCATCATTTGCCCCACAATGCCTTGTGTCCAATGAAACTTGGAAAGGAGGGCATTTGATTAAGTTTGAATTTTCGGTTGATCGACACAACTGAAAAAATTTCGGGAGGCCAAAACATCTGCTTCCAAGCTTTTTTTGGACTTTTTACAACATTGGATTAAGTAGGGCTTGTCAAGAGCTTCGATTTGATATATAATAAGTCCATATTTTGAGTCACAGAGCAAAATTTACAATCAAAATAGCGAGAAGGAACACTGGACACACGATTTTGGGCGAGCTGACCATGGAGGTGGGTGCACTTTTGGAGGCCTTGGGTGGGCTGACCAAGGAGATGGGCGTTCATGTTGTGCTGGATAGGCAGTTGGGCGAGCTGAGGGAGGAAACCACTGTTGGGGCACGCAGAGGAGGTGACCTCTGGGCGCGCGACTGGGGCTAGCACTGTGGATGTAAGGATAGCAGGTCAGGCAGGCAACAGGGTTGTTGTGTCGATTCAGGTGTTGAGCACCTATGCTGCGGGTGAGTAGGAAGGGATAGCTGAGGTGCCTGTTGCGCTGGGCAAACAGCTAGGAGTGCTTGTTGGGTGCGGGCGTGCTGGTCAGGTAACCCAACTGTTGGGTGCTGATAAAGTGGTGTCTGTGGTGTTGGGGCCCTACTGGAAAAGTGCCTAGGCATCGGTGCTGGATGGCGAGGCGAGTTATGCTTGGCAGCGGAGGCTGGTGACTTTGCTGATCGCGATGGAGGAGCGCTATTTGGGGACAAGCGCAGGCAGGGGAGCAAGTGCCAGATCTTTAGTGTTGGAAGCGTAGGTAAGCCTTGTTTGGGCTAGGTGCTAAGCATGGGAGTGTTGCAGCAATAAGGCGGCGGTGCCAGATGGACACAAAATGATGAGGCCCAATTGTTGACATTCAATTTAATGTAGTCCTTTAGGTTGTAGACGATCTGAGTTTCAAGATTCTGCCTAGAGATGACAAAAATAATGTTATTCCAAACATTAAAATATCTAAAGATAANAAGAACTTGGCTGTCCGCGTGGAAGAATCTAGCCAAAAGCCAAACTATCTAGCAATTAAGTTCTTGTACCAAGGTGGTCAAACTGAAATTGTCGCCGTTGATGTAGCTCAGGTAAATCGAAAGTAATACCATTTGAATACAACGGCTATTGGTTCATATGAATCATAAGGTCATGTGGTGTTGTTATTGCATATGTAGGTTGGTTCATCGAATTGGAATTTCATGAGCAGAAATCATGGTGCTGTTTGGGACACAAGTAGAGTTCCAACTGGGCCATTGCAATTCCGGTTTGTTGTGACATCTGGTTATGATGGGAAGTGGATTTGGGCACAAAAAGTCCTACCTGCTGATTGGAAAAATGGGTTGATCTATGATTCCGGAGTACAGATCACTGATATTGCACAGGAGGGTTGTTCTTCATGTGATGATGGAAGCTGGAAATAAGACATCTTCGTTCATTGCTAGTGTGAATGCAATGCACACAATAGGCGTCCCAGTCAAGAACACACAGTGAATTTGGTTATAGAAAAGATTAGGGTGTGACATTACAATTGGAATAGCTATGTTTTGAAACTTAAGAAAGAAAAAAAAATGATAACCTTTGTTGCTTTGAGGAGCTTTTGTTACTAGGACAAAGCTTTTATTGTGTTAGCACCAAAAAAGAATAACCAGACTTTTGCTTGGGTAACCCAGCGGTATTATTGATGTGCTGTAGCATATTTTTTCCCCTCACCTAATAAAATTTTGAATTTATAACTCTCTCTCTCTCTCTCTCTCTCTCGTACTACAGTCCTCTGATAACAGTAGGTATTGATAATGTACAAAATAATTTTACACACCACCTGTCAAGTGTGAATAATAAATACAGTAATTAAAAGTAAAGAGAGTTGGAAAAGACGGGGTTTATAATGGTTCGATCAACGTGACTTACGTCCACTTTTAAATGACCTTGGTCGCCTGATACTTTATTAGTTTAATGGTGCAGGGAGCAGAGAGTACAAGTTTAGAGAGAGAGGAGAGAGTCGTGCTCAACAAAGTGAGATCTGCCCCTAAGTGTTGATGGGGTTTACAATTTATAGTCGCCCCCTAACAGATTGGGGCGACTTAATAACAATTAAATAACTATTCTAGTGGAGCTGACGACTTCTTCTCAACCGGCGAGGCGGTTGAGGTGCTCTCTATGAGACTCGGTTAAAGGATAAGATGAGGGTTGACTCTTTCCAAGGCTGCGAGGGGTAGGCTCTTGGTGACCCTTACTCCAAGGTGGTAGAAGAGGCTCTTGATGACCCTTGCTGATATAGCTCCTTAATTTTGGTGACCTTTTTCGGGTGCAGACTCCTTTGGGCTTGGCTAGTTGGATCTCTTGGAGTTGGACCCTTGAGTTTGGCTCATCATTTGCCCCACAATGCCTTGTGTCCAATGAAACTTGGAAAGGAGGGCATTTGATTAAGTTTGAATTTTCGGTTGATCGACACAACTGAAAAAATTTCGGGAGGCCAAAACATCTGCTTCCAAGCTTTTTTTGGACTTTTTACAACATTGGATTAAGTAGGGCTTGTCAAGAGCTTCGATTTGATATATAATAAGTCCATATTTTGAGTCACAGAGCAAAATTTACAATCAAAATAGCGAGAAGGAACACTGGACACACGATTTTGGGCGAGCTGACCATGGAGGTGGGTGCACTTTTGGAGGCCTTGGGTGGGCTGACCAAGGAGATGGGCGTTCATGTTGTGCTGGATAGGCAGTTGGGCGAGCTGAGGGAGGAAACCACTGTTGGGGCACGCAGAGGAGGTGACCTCTGGGCGCGCGACTGGGGCTAGCACTGTGGATGTAAGGATAGCAGGTCAGGCAGGCAACAGGGTTGTTGTGTCGATTCAGGTGTTGAGCACCTATGCTGCGGGTGAGTAGGAAGGGATAGCTGAGGTGCCTGTTGCGCTGGGCAAACAGCTAGGAGTGCTTGTTGGGTGCGGGCGTGCTGGTCAGGTAACCCAACTGTTGGGTGCTGATAAAGTGGTGTCTGTGGTGTTGGGGCCCTACTGGAAAAGTGCCTAGGCATCGGTGCTGGATGGCGAGGCGAGTTATGCTTGGCAGCGGAGGCTGGTGACTTTGCTGATCGCGATGGAGGAGCGCTATTTGGGGACAAGCGCAGGCAGGGGAGCAAGTGCCAGATCTTTAGTGTTGGAAGCGTAGGTAAGCCTTGTTTGGGCTAGGTGCTAAGCATGGGAGTGTTGCAGCAATAAGGCGGCGGTGCCAGATGGACACAAAATGATGAGGCCCAATTGTTGACATTCAATTTAATGTAGTCCTTTAGGTTGTAGACGATCTGAGTTTCAAGATTTTGCCTAGAGATGACAAAAATAATGTTATTCCAAACATTAAAATATCTAAAGATAATTATCTAGAGAGAGAGAGATAGGCTGCTTGCGCAAGAACAAAGACAGAGTTTGAGGATTACTCATGAGAGAGCTATACCTTTTGAGACCGAGCTTTTGGGGACCCATGAGAGAGTCTTTAAGCTTGAGGTATAGAATGCNATCTGGTTATGATGGGAAGTGGATTTGGGCACAAAAAGTCCTACCTGCTGATTGGAAAAATGGGTTGATCTATGATTCCGGAGTACAGATCACTGATATTGCACAGGAGGGTTGTTCTTCATGTGATGATGGAAGCTGGAAATAAGACATCTTCGTTCATTGCTAGTGTGAATGCAATGCACACAATAGGCGTCCCAGTCAAGAACACACAGTGAATTTGGTTATACAAAAGATTAGGGTGTGACATTACAATTGGAATAGCTATGTTTTGAAACTTAAGAAAGAAAAAAAAAATGATAACCTTTGTTGCTTTGAGGAGCTTTCGTTACTAGGACAAAGCTTTTATTGTGTTAGCACCAAAAAAGAATAACCAGACTTTTGCTTGGGTAACCCAGCGGTATTATTGATGTGCTGTAGCATATTTTTTCCCCTCACCTAATAAAATTTTGAATTTATAACTCTCTCTCTCTCTCTCTCTCTCTCGTACTACAGTCCTCTGATAACAGTAG